CTACACCTCTTCTCCAATTCTTCTCAAACTCTTCTCCATCTTCATCTTCTCTTATTATCCTACATTCCTACTTATACATATACCATTTTAAATATGGAAAGTACATCTTCCCTTATGCAAAACAATTTTGATAAGTGAAAGGACCCGAAGACCGGATTGTGGTGGGCAACTTGCAGGTGGTGCAAGAAAGAGTGTTGCTTGGGGCGTTCATACGGATACGGGATGCCAATAAAACATATGAAGTCCTGTGACAAAGGGAAAACAACAACCAACGGTGGCGGAAATCCCAATTGATATTCATTACAAAATGTATTTTGTATTGTTATTTTTTTCTCAATTCTCAAATGTAGTTCTTATTTTAAATAAATACACTTGAACTTTGTTTTTAATAGCAATTTGTATAATATATAATTAATTAAAAAAAAATATACTAGCCCGGCCCAGCCCGGCGGGTGGCCCGGCCCGAACCGGAACCGGTCATTGACCGGGCCGGTCCCGGGCCTACCATTATAAGACCCGAGGCCCGACCGGGCCTTGACCCGGCCCGGGCCCAACACTATTTATAACCGAGCAGGTAAAGATCGATGTTGGTTGCCCAAAAGTAGGAACTAAACATATTCGTATCTTTTTCATCTTCTATTTTTAGCTTTATCTAACTTTTTTTTAAATCTTTTTTAGCTCTAGTTCCTTATGTCGATCCTATTAACCGACCACAATCTCTTTTAGAACTAAGGCTTTAATATTATTGTTGTTGTATTAAAAAAAGCGGAACTAGAAATGGACCAAAACAGGTTGGAACTGGAACTAATTTACTTGGATAATGTTCCATTTCTTCCCTACCTCTACCTGAAACTGAAATCGGCCATTTTAACTTTTAAATCTCTAGTTTATGTCACATAAAATCAGGTTCAATAACTGGTGAGGGAAAATCACACAAATCCTTCGATAAAGTATATCTAAATTATAAATCAAGGAGAGACAAAATCTGTTTTAGCAGTAGATCTTGCAAATCAAGCCCCTCCATTGAATTTTATAACAGCAAGATAAAATGCAATTTCATCGATAAAGCTATGGATTTCAAATGATTTCTCAGCAGCAACCCTTTGAAGTGTTGCCCTGTCTGGCAGATCTGAGACTATTAAGTTGGGGTATTGTTTTCGTTGTTGGTCAACCATTTGCCTGCCTTGGGGGTGACTTATCACAACTCTGGCACCTACAAAGTGTTTTGTATACTGTCAGACATCATTATGCACATCTTCTACTGAATGCTTTTTTTCTTTTTTAATTTACTTTTTAATGGATGGAGCATTTCCTTGAGCATTAGAAGAGTTGTACCTTGACCACAAATTGTAACATAAATCTTAGCATATGAACAATTTAAGCAAGAAGTGTTACAGGGTTTTGTTTGGTATGCTGAAAATTACCCTGGCGGGAAATAAAGAAAAAATTGCAAGGAAAGAAAACTTGGAGTACAATACTCATGGATATATTTTTATATTCCTGCAAAATCATTTTATATATTTACCTCTATTATATAAAGACTAACGAATCTAAGAATCTAAATATGCGTAAGACCAAACCAAATCCAAATCCAACCAAATATACCCAATAAGTCCCCTTCGAGTATGGTTTGTGGAGAGGATAAAATATACGCAATCAGACCTTATCTCTAGATTCTCTACCCAATACTTCATAATTCAATCCTCGGCATTTTTAATCTTTTAGAAAACGTTGATCATAATTCATTTTTCAAAGTAAAAGATTAATCTCTCCTTGGCATTTTTTCCCTCTACATACCATATACTTCAATCCAAGCATCCGCTAAACACCCACGTATGGTTGTGTTCATTCTGACAAGCACTAGATCAAATGTTTTTTTATATCATTGTGAAAATTGGAAAGCATTATAATTTATGGATATGAATCAATGGTAAATGATATCACATAATAATACCTGGCATAGATCTCTTCCCAAGTGCTTCCAAAACTTGACTAAGCTCAAAGGGAATCGCAGGAAGGAAGTAGAGAAAGACTACATCAAAAGGTGCCCAATTTTCTGGTACATTTATCAGTTCCCCTTGCCAACATTTAACATAGTCATGTTTCTCCTTGATGCATGCTAATGCAGAGAGAGAATCATGGACTACAAGAATTTCTTTGCTAGGTGACAAATCAACTACACTATCCACAAATTCGTCAGAACTTATTGAAATTAAAACCTTTGAATTCTCTGAAATCCTTGCAGCGATTATAATTTTATCAATCTTTTGTTTATGTTCTTCTTCATTAGAGTGATCACAGTGGGTGTCGAGAAATGACCAGTTTTTCTCCAAAACATCCTCAAAGGCAACTGCAAAAAGTTTTCCCTTACTTAAAGTCGTTGCAGAGAGTGAGGGGCATTGGCTTTTAGGAAAGAAAGAACAAAAGCGAGAGCTCAAATGTTGTGAATAGATATGCAGTATAGGTCTTTGATGATGAGGTGTAGCTGGACACAAAGATGAGGATAATGATATTGAAATCATAAGATTAACTTTGGTTTCTTTTGGAATACACAACAGATATATTTAGAAACTGATTAAATGAAGAGAGGTAATGATGTTCAGAGTAAAGTGAAAGCTTGTCTTTCAACAAAGTAACATATGCTCCATCTTTCCCTTTTCCCACTCCAAATTATTTTTGAACTTGTGTGCCTCCCTGTCATCAACAATAAAAATTTAGTAAGAAACTGTTTGACACAGATTATACATGAAATAAAATTTAAACAAACTTCATTAATTTTATAATTTTTTCTTAGAAGTGATATTTATTGGTAAACTAGAATAGCTTTATCTGCACCGTTCGGATTGAGAGAGTGAAGGGTAGAACTTAGAAGTGATGAGAAAGAGAGAGGAAGTAGGGTAAATTTTAGGCTTGTCTAACCAGATTTCCTAATGGCCCCAAAATGAGTACTAATAGAGTAACAAAATTCTAACAGTCCTTTAGCATTAATTGTGACCACCCATCATTGTACCCTTGCTTCAGCCATCGTTTCAATAAGACTTGGTAAACACATCTTCAAGGAAGCCCAAAGTTTCTTTTTTGGATTCATTGGCACACAAGAGGTGATAGCAACTGAATAGGTCCATCACCCAGTCACCCAAGTCAGTTATAAGCATCCACACATCATATTCACTAAAAACACTATGACTACTTTGTTTGATGTTCAATTTCTACTTAAGTAAAATATATTGTGTTATCGGTTGGTTCTCCTTCGGCAAACTATAGTGACATTTTGGAACATTATAAAACAAATACCAATAAGAGTGAACACAGTAGTAGGCAATTTAAGCTGACAATGTTCACATGAAGGGACATTATAAACTATAGTCAAATTTAAAGTGAGATTACATAGTTTATGAATAAGGGGGTGTTTGAATCTGATTCTCAAAACTGATTCTGCTCCTTCAAGAAGCAAAACCAGAAGCTGGAGTGTTTGGGTGAAATTCCAGAAGCACTTCTGATCTACCTCAAAAATCAGTTTTTTTAGAAGTTGAGGGTACCACCTTATGAAAACCGATTCTGATTCTACTTCTGTTTTAAAAAAGAAGCAGAAGCAGAATAAGTTCCAAACACCCCTAAATTCCAATTTTACGAATCGAGTCAGTATGTCACAAAGTCTGTTTTTATTGGTTCAAATGGTTTATTAATGTTTTTCATTCGATTCATCCACTCGTAAGATTTTGGACATTTGTTGTTCTCTTCTTCACTTCTTCTATGTACTCTTTAAACATAAACTCTGTATATTTAGTCAGTGGGACTTTTTTGAGAAACAAATCAACAGAAGTGGGAAACACTTTACCGTGAGTGAAAATGCACAGAGGCAGCGGACGGAACAATGAGAATTTAGAATGGAGGAGAGGAGGCTTAACCGTCAGTTGCGGTAGTCTTTAGAACGAATCGGAAAGAATACTGCTTCCAGGGTTAGCAGTGGAAGCTGCTTTCGCTCTCTAGGAGACCAGGGTTCAGGTGATAATACAATGAGGATGAATGGATTGAAAAAGTTAAAAAAATCACTTTTTTTTTTTAACGAGAAAAGGGTCAATTGAGTACATCAAGTTGTATGAGGTAGAGTAAAGAGTACACTATATTGCATTTGATCTTTTTAAGTACACAAATTGGGGATTTTAGTGTTAATTGAGTACATTTGTTAGATTAACACGTTAATATAGCTGAGTTGGCTAACATAATACGGAGTATTGAGTAAGAAGGAGTAATGGACCAATGTTATGGCGCCGACATTCACGAAGTCAACCAAAAAGGGAAAATTAACCTTCGAAGGTTGACCTGCGTGGGGCATCGGCAAGCAGAGGTGCATCGACCAAGGAGAAGTCGACCTGCGGGGACTGACGTCGACCAAGGGGAAGTCGATCAAGTGACAGGGGGCAGGTGTCGACCTTGAAGAAGTCAACCTATTAGCATTCCGTTAGCCAACTCAACCGTATTAACGTGTTAATCTAACAGACGTACTCAATTAACATTAAAACCCCAAATTTGTGTACTTAAAAATATCAAATGCAATATAGTGTACTGCTTACTCTACCTCATACAACTTGATGTACTCAATTGACCATTACCTCTTTTTAAAACAAAAGCAGGGGCAAATACTCCCTAAATATGTTCAAAATGCTACTTAATTGTTACTCTCTCCGTTTCATTTAAATCTTTACACTTTCTGTTTTGGATATCCCATTTATTTTTCTTAGACAACTCATTTTAAATTAAATGTCTTAACTACCCTTACTACTCACCTACTTTTTACATTTGTGTGGATATCATTAATCCTCCCAAATAACATTGTCAAACAGTATTTAAACAGTGTTAGACAGTGCAGTCCACAGTAAAGTCTAATTTATTTTCTTAATATGTGTGAACTCAAATCAGGAACTTAATTGGGGGACGGAAGGAGTACTTTACTATTCTAAACAAATGGAAACTGCATACGACGTCGTTGAAGGATATCCTTTTGCAACGGGGCCATTTTGGGCTGTGGCGCCGTCGCAACACACGCAAACAGAATGACGGCTACAAGAAGTGTGCCTTTACCGGAATTACCGCGGCGGACAGAAACCCGTGGGGACTGGTGAGTAGTTAACTATTGCCCTTGTGCTTATGATACCGATAGCAGGTTTTGCTTTCGGAGAACGATCTGTCACTAAGCTCAAAGTGCACACACCTCGTTCGTAGAAAATGGGGACGAGCTGACCAGTGGCAATCCGCACCGATGTATGCGGTTAGGTTTCTACGCTTGATTACAACAAGATCTTCTCTTTCATCTATCAATGCAAATCCTGTTTACTCACCGTCCAGAGCTTCGTGTAAGTCCACTTCTTCTTGGCGCATGCTCATCGCGTAGCTTAAATTATCCTTATGTTTCGATAGCCAACTCGATTCAGTCAATTTTTTTCGCAGGTGATGTAACATTTGGTCATTTAATAGAATTGCTGACGAAAAGCCCAAGACCTCAAGCTTACGGTTCAATGTCAAAGTTCAGAAATCCATTCCATGTGCAAAAGTGCCATGAGCAGCTCCCAAAATTGAAGGATCAGGGTCAGGTTTAACGCATTACCATATTCAAACTGTTCGAGCACACGCTCCTAGCCTCCTAGCAGCTAAATGCCAGTAGTACTTTATATAGTTCGTATCCGGTTTCCCCCCAAAGAGTGCTGCTGTCTATATAGTAATCGAGTTCAATGATGAATTGCTCATGTGAATAACCAATTAGTTATTTCCAATGCATCAGATTGTATTTTATTTGAAGTTAAGCACAGCTTTTTCAGGCTCCCATAGGTAGCGAATAGCGATAATCAGTTTATTATGCTTACCTACCTTATTAGTTACATACATGTTACCACCAAACACTTCCTTTCAGAAAATTCACCAGTTCTAGCCATTTAAACCAAATAATCTCTGAAGAGTTGGATTTTGCACCTCACTTTCAAAACCATTAATATTTGGGGAAAATATTTTAAATTCTCACACTTTAGAGGGGTGTGTGGCAAGCACTTCAAATATGCATATGTAACATATATACCCCGAATTTCGCATGAAAAGTTAGCTTAGCATCATAACCATTTCTTTTCTTTCACAAATGTACTTTTATATTGTTAAGTACATAATTTAAAAAACAATAAGACTTTATGATGATGAAGTTATCATTATAAACTTCCATTTATTAAATAAATAAATTACCTCTGGTCACATACAATGAACTCAGACTTTCTTTGTTTTTAACAGTTCAAACACTTTAGCACCCTGAAAACAATTTCATCTTAAAAAAATTCCATAATAATCCAAAATCTCCTGATGTTAACATACTCTATTTTAACTTTTACGCCATTCAAACACTATACTTTGGCTTTATTTTATTTATTAATGGATTAAATGATTGCACTAAATAAAATATTATAAAATTTGTCCCAAATTAAAATATTAAAGTATGACGTTTATAAATGTATACTAATAATCAATTAAATATTTTAATGGTCAAAGCCGTTGTTTGCAAATATTAAGTTAAAAGTGTTGCAATTATATAGACCAGAGGCAAAATTATTTTACAACTAAAAAATGCTCAGTGTATTTAAATTATTTATCTAACACCATAAATTTACACTTATGAAAGAAAAAATGTATGATCACGGTGGCATGGTGCTAAGATAACTTATTTTATAAAATTTGGGGTATTTATATTACGTATACAAGTTTAGGATATTTATCTCACACCCTTCCAAAGTTTGGGGTATTTAAATTATTTTTCCCTTATTATTTGCTCTGTGAAATTTAAAAATAGCTAAAATGGAAGTAAAACTTAGGTTAACCTTTAATTTTCAGAGTGTACGTATTAATGATTTTGAAAACGTGGGGTAAGCTCAAATTTAGATGAGAAACTTGAGTGCAAACTCCAATTCCCCAAAATCCTTGCTAAACATGCCTTAGAAAGCACCAGTAGTCCCAGGCTGGCAGACTGGGGGCATGCAAGTAGTTGGGCTTAAGTGGAACCAACATAAGAGAACATCTGATGACCAGAGTGGTCAAAGAAGGCCTAGCTCCTAGGTGGTATGGCAGTACCTTGTAGCACTACTAAACATTGCAGCTTTAGCATTTGTTTTTGTGTTTCAATATATGTTAACAGTTTATCTACATTATTTTTGTGAAAGCCTAAACACCTTGTGAGATGTTGATTATTTTTACCCATTGACATTCTCTTAGGAGGTAATTTCACTTGGTTCAATGCTGTTGGTTTATCAGCACTGCTCGGATCAATTAGCATGTGGCCCCGGACTGCATATGCGATGGATGGTAAGTGATTAGAATACTGTGTATTGGATGTATGTCTCAAAGGTGTCTTATAGTTTCCTCTTCTGTTGTATGTTGAAGACTTTGGTGCTTTTTTGGATGATGGTCACAGCTTGGGCTTAATGGAAAATCCCAAAACTAAGAAAGACCACGGGACTTTCTTTGTCTTACTAAAGAAACTAATTGTTCCTATTTTCCTAGTGGCAACTATTTTTCTAAATTTGGGTCATCCTCTCATCCTTGCTGCAAAAGTAACTCTTATTCTTTACATGACGAAGCCCAGCCCTCTCTCGATTTATCTCTTTGTTGAAGAGGTAAGTAACTATGTGATTATGTTATCCTCCTTTGTGAAGCTCAAAATAGCTGAAGTTGATGTACTGTGGTCAAATGTGATAAAATTGCTAAAATTTCGTATAGAATGGTTTTGTATCTGCTGAATTATTAAAAAAAACAAAAGAATCAATATATATATATAAAAGAGGAACTTTTTAAGAGCATACAGTGCGCCACATAATCCCGCCATGTCATCATATATAACAATTATTTAATTACTTTTTATACAGTTTATTTTTTTTATTAGATTCTATTTTTATTGTACATTGATATGGAAACAATATACCATGAGAATCTAAGTAGTCACGATAATTGTATATATTAATGAAAACTGGTTGATATGGAAACAATATACATTTCGATGGAAACTATTCCAATTGTATATATTTTCGATTGATATGATACATAACAATTATTTAATTACTTTTTATATAGCTTATTTTTCTATTACATTCTATTTTTATTGTATATTGATATGGAAACAAAAGACTGTAGCATAGAATCCACCTTATTTGGTAACTTTTTAAGAACCTATTACTTACTCCGTATTAATTTGGATAGTTATTAAATTAAGCAATTGGAACCACAAGAATAAACAATCATCCCTACACATAGACTATGTTTTATATCAATTATTTAATTTTTTTTAATACCTTTTATTACATTCTATTGAAAAATGAATTATCACTGTTTTGCCCACCTAACAGATAAATCATCAAAATTCCTATTAGCTAAATTATGTACTGCCCGTGCATCGCACGGGCTTGAAACCTAGTATATTTAAATAAATTAAGGAATATAGTATCAAATATAAAGCTAAAAGTATCAATGCCGTCTTTTTAGCTATTTCAGCTAAAAAAGTAGCGATGCATTAATTTTTTAGAACCCATATTTTCAACTTATCAGCCTTACTGAACACGTAACTTTTGATTTCGCACTTTGAATTATGTAATAATCAAACTAAGTAAGGTTGAAATCATTTTCTGACTGAATTGGTTGAAGTTAGTGCATATGACCATTTCAGCTGTTTTCATATATATTTTTCTTATTTTTTAATAGAATATATTTTAAATATGTTTTTACATCATTCAGCAAATTTAGTCAATTGAGGATTTTCATCTAGAATTTCATGAATTTCAGCCAATTCAGCCAATATGAGTGTACCAAATGGGGTCTTAGTTATCTAATAATTATTTGTGCTTGATGGAAAGCTACCTGATAAGCCAAATTCATTGCCTTCCAAATGGACTCTAAATCCCCTTTGGTAAGGAGGATAATTCGGATGAAATGGTTGACTCTACTTAATTTTTTGAAATAGGAAATACATGCTGTAACATCTGTTTAAGACCAAGTATACAAGTCAAAAGCTACCTCTTTTGTTGATAAGCAGAATAAGCGAGAACTGGTTTATTTACTTAGATGCTCACTGCCATTAAATAGCAATGGGTTTGACATGTCTCTACTTTCTACCAAATATTTCAGATACGAAATCAAGTCATCTGTAAACATCCATTCATTTTTCAATTCAAGGTATGTTCGGTTTCTCAGATACCATATGATGTTCGGTTTTGCTTAAGGTTAATGCTACAGGGAGTGATCCCTTTCAAGTGTACATAACTACATACATGTTGTGTCTTGCAGTCATTGTATGCAAATAAAGTTGAGGTTGAAGATTATGAGATCTTCTGTTTGGCTACAGTGGAACTAAAAGAACAGAAGTTCACTGTAGTTGGATTTCTTGGAAGCTGGTGGGTTTTGCCTGTATCCTCCTCGCGGGAAGATGGATTATTTTCTATGCTCAAGGACAGATTTAAGAAAATTTTAAGTTGAGGTAAGCTGCTAGATTTCATCATTTATTCCTTTAAGGTCAGTTTGTGGGTGAAAATAAATTTTGTTTAGTTGAGGTAAGCTGCTCTAAATGGAAAATATATCTTTGCTCAAATTGATGTTATTTATTTATTTTTATTTTTTTCATTCATTCATTCATTCATTCATTCATTCATTCATTCATTCATTCATTCATTCATTCATTCATTCATTCATTCATTCATTCATTCATTCATTTATTTATTTATTTATTTATTTAAAGATTAAGAAATATAACATACTTCAACAAAAATAGAATCCTAACATTATTTAGTTTTCTTTCATATTTTCCAAGGTAAAACTAATCACAAGAAAATAACTTTACCTAGTTTTTTTCCCTCTTCTCTCTATCATTTGATGGATTCCAAACATAGTGTGATTAGACTTTAGAGTCAGTGTTCGTGTTGTTAAATGAAGTAAAATTTGATAGGTATGGGGAGAAGATATATAGAGGGAAATAGAAGCTAGGGTTACATTGATTAAAAATAAGTACGGACTATTTTACGGAGTGCAAGATAATGATACACACAGACTATAATGAATAAAGGGACTTATTTCACCCTTCCCTATAAATAAAGACAATATTGAACCCTTAGATTATTATCTAGCATGTCTCACTTCTTTGTTTTTCTTTTTAGGTTTTGTTGTATACAAAATGCAGTGTAGACCATAGAGAGGTTATGGGCGTGTTGTTATCCAATATATGCCAAAAGTGCAAGCTGAGGGAGGAACAGCTGCCTAGCATAGTAGCATGGAACTTATTGAGGCTCTATTTACTTTCAATTTCTTTCTATAGTATCAAGACTATGTTGTCTGCCTTTCATAAATTTTGCTTCAATTAGTCAATAAATATTCCTATGTAGCCTGCATTGCTGCAACTCTATAGCATTATAATTAGAAAATTGCTATTGGTACCTCAAAAATTACCCCATCTTTACCCCATATAAATACCTCCCCCACTTTTCTCCTCCCCTTCCTCCTCCCTCCCCCACTTTTCTTTCGCCCTCCCCCTCTCCCCTGGTTCTTAGTTCCACACAACCCATCTCCTCCCTTTTCTCTTTTACTTTTCTCCATTTCAAGATCTCTCCATTTCTTAAATGTTTCTCATTTTTACCATCTTTTCCCCTTTCAACCTTCTTCTCCTACTTCTCTCGTCTTTCGCCTTTTTTCCATTTCAAATGGCGGAGCTACAGTAATCGGACAAATGGGGAGAGCTAGGTGAACAAGAAGGAACAACGAAGGTGTAGACCAAGAAGTTTAGAGCAGATCTTATTTTCTTGATTTTTTATTCTTGATTTTGTTTTCTTGTTTTTTTGGGTGTGTTTTCAAAATAAAAAGGGATGTCTGTCTGACAGACAACTTGTAAGTGCAGTGTCTCTGTGTCTGTATTTGTTAGTAAGACTCGTGAAGTTTTCTGTCATTTGAAAACTAAATGTCTGTAATTGATATGTAATAGTCTGTCATTTGCTTGTAAGTTGTCTATATTTTTTGAGTTGTCTATCATGTTGTTGTGAGGAGTCTGTAAGAGTCGTGAAGTTGTCTGTCTGTCTGTAATTGATGGTTAATTGTTTGTCAGTTGTTTTGAGTTGTCTGTATTTGTTTTTGAGTTGTCTATATTTGTTTTGATTTGTCTGTATTTGATTGTGAACTGTATCTAATTACTTTAATTAATTGAGATGTAATTTGTCTAACGAGACAGACATTAAATATACACATACAAACATTATTTTATTGTGAATTACCATATTGGCATATGTTTCATAACAAGACAGACAATACGTATTACTAGACAGGTAATAGAGATAACCAGACAGACATTAATTTTCACCACAAATTTCATACAACTCAAAATGAAATGACAAACAACTAAAAATCAGTTACAGACAAATTCACGACTCTTACAGACAAATACAAATACAAACTACTAATAAACAAATGACAATATCAATTACAGACATTATTTTTCAAATGACAGACAACTTCAAGACTCTTACAGACACTGCACTTACAAGTTGTCTGTCAGACAGACAACATTTTTTATTTCGAAAATACATCAAAAATCAAGAAAACAAAATCCAGAAAAGAAGATCTGCTACTCAAGTTATTCAAAGCTTCTTGATTTGCCTTCATTGTTGTCTTCCCTTGAGGTTGCCTTCGAAATGGCAACCGGAGTAGGCCGGCCGTCGGCAACTGGCGTAGGGCCGCCGTCGGCAACGTCACCAGTGGAAGAGGAGATAAGCAGGAGAAGATCGAAGGTTGGATGGGGGAAAGATGGTAAAAATTGGAAGTCTTAAAGAAGGAGAAAGATATTGAAATGGAGAAGGTTTTCAAAAAAAATTGAAATGGAGAAGAAAGGGGATGAGAGGGGGTGCGTGAAAAGAGGAGAGGAGGGAGGAAGAGAGGTGGGGTGCAGGAGAGAGGGAGGGAGGGGAGAAAAAAAAGTGGGGAGGGTGGAAAGAGAGAAGGAAAGTGGAGGGTTTTTATATGGGGTAAAAAATGGGGTAGGTTTGGGGTACCGGTAGCAAAATTGTTATAATTATTGCTAAAAGTCAAATCTATTTTTTACATTTTGAGTTATGAATACCACAGTAACTGGATGGCTTTTTTCTGATTTAAATGTCATGGTGCTGGTGTGCGACTAGGGATGGACCGGTGTCCGGTGGGTTTGGAAAATGATGGCCCGGTACTGGCCTGGGTTGGTTCCGGGACCGGGCCGGGTCGGGTCTTTTTTTTTTAATTTTAGTTTTTCTTATTTATTCTTACCCCACCCCCCTCCCCCAACCACCCAGCCCCACCCGCCTAACACCTAATACATTTGAAAAAATAAAAAATAAAAACATTGGGCCCGGACTGGTCCCGGACCAGCCGGGCCGGTCCATCAAATCCCCATCCCAGAGCCCACCCCAAAACCCCACCGGTTCGGGCCCAAGGCTTGGTCTCGGCCGGTTGGGTCGGGTCGGGCAGGTACAACACAGTAGCAGTCCGGGCCGGGTACCGGGCCGGTCTGACCGGGCACAGTCCATCCCTATGTGAGACTATTATGTTTTAGGGAAAATGAAAAAAATAAGATTTCCGGTTTTTATCGACAAAATAGGACCAAATTTTTATTCCATCATTTGCAATGGAGCCAAGAACTCATTATTTTTTGACTTGGAAATATGATAGAATAAAGCAAAATGACTCACTAAATTGTCTGTGCTTCTTTGTTATGAAACAACAGTCGGTCTATGCAATTTTCTATGTGATTCTCACTATGGGTCATTCGGAAACAATCTATCTGTGCTTTAGTACGGGGATAAGACTGCGTACATCCGACCCCCACCTACTCTACCGTAGGTGGGAGCTTTTCCGGCGCTAGGGTAATGATGATGATGATGAAAATAGGACCAAATTTTATTTTGAACAAAAAGGTGACTAAAATGTGATGGAAGTCCCAAATACCCATTAATTAAATCCCCTGAAATACTATCACTTCCATAGGCAACAGGGGATGCCTATGGAAGGCAACGATTAAGGAGAAAGGGGATGTCATCTTGGGCAACGCGAGATGGGGATTTCCGTCACCGATTCGGCAACAGGGGATGTCATCTTGGGCGACGCGAGATGGGGATTCAGACATCCCGATGAGTGTTGGATCCGGAAACGCGGCGGATTTGAGCGCGATTACAAGGCTCGACGGCCATGGCAACCCGACTTCGGCGGCAAGGCTTGCTCTGGTAGAAGATGGATTGGCTACAGGGATGCAACTGTTGGAGCGGGCGATTGGAGTTCACGACCAGACCGAGTCCAGCGTTTTCAATTCTGGAAATCAGACCCAAGGAAATCACGGCCAGATCGAGGATTGCAGCAGTTTAGCAGGTTTTCCATCCCTGGACAGGGGAGATATGGTGTTTCGTTTTGTATGATGATAATTCTTTTGGGGGTTTGTCCGAATAGTTGAGAAAGGAGGTGATTCTTTATTTATTCCTGAGGGGTGGAATGGCTATGGGATCAATTTTTTTCTTAGAGGGATTACTCGAGCTATTATGTTAATGAATGCAACGGGTTCCAAAAGTGGCAACTGAGGAAGATGAAGTCCTCTTAATTACAACGGGTTCTAAGAGTAATTTAGACCTTCTCCCTTTTAATGAGGATTATGCGCACACAGGTGAAACTACGATTTCCAGTGTATTACTCCAGGCCGATATTGAGCATCTTGATTCATTTGATCAGTCTTTGGGTATGGTTTCAATTGATGATGTTCACATTATTGAACAAAAACATGAGTCTGATGAATTCGCAAATCTTAAAGATTGACACATGGGGTGAATTCTCTTTCTGAGTTTCTACTTCATGAATTTTAGAGGGTCCTTGCCTCTTCTTTAGGTAATCTGACTATGACACCCACAAATGAAGGTGATTCGAATAAGACAGGAGTTTTAGAGTCGGGTGACAGGAGTATTAGGAGTAGACATGCTCATTCTAGATGGGATTTTCCAGATCTTACAGCTCCTCTTGCTTGTGAGGGATGTTATGATATTCCGGACTTTACATCTTTGGGGGATGAATTTATTGGACACGTCTCAAAAAACAAAAAGAGGGTTCCCATCTCAACGGAAGATGACCTTTGGGACTCATATACTAATGATGTTATTTGCAAAAATGCTTTGTTGGTCACACGAGAAAACTGTTTGCCTACTCAAAATATGAACACACAAAAGGGAATATACAAAAAGAAGAATTAACGATCACACCTTATGAGAACTAGGTCTCAGACATCAGTGGAGCTTTGAAGATTTGATTGAAGAATTAATTGAGGGCCGAAGTTTCTATTTGGGGAGGTTTTATCGTTATTCTTTGGGTTGGCTTTTAGCTATTAGTTTGTCTTTTCTTTTATTTCCATTTTGCATTTTTTATTTTTCTCTTTTCTTTCTTTACTTGTGATTCTTTTTAATAAAGCTCTATTTATTATTAAAAAAAGAAAAAAAATACTATAACTTCCATAGGCATCCTAAGTTAAGGATGGACCCGGGCAGTACCAGTTCTAGATTAGTGGAGCCCGATACTGGCCGGTATGCTCTGATACCGATCCCGGTTCGGGCCCAAACAATATCAGGCTCGGGTCAGGCCTAGGTAGTATCCACCCATTTAATTAATTTAAAAACAAATAGCCGTTGGGCTCGTGTGGGCCCATAATTTGAAGCCCAAAGCCCGTCTCGTAACTCCACCGGTTTGGGTACCGGGTTGGTCCCAGTCCGTGCCCAGTCCATCCTTGTCCTCAGTGATCAAGTTGGCGGTCTTTCTTGTTCATCGAACATCCTCATCGTGAAACGCTTCCATCACTTGATTGTCGATGATTGATGGCTACACCAGCAGTGGCAAAGTTGACTCCACCAATGGTGATGATGACCTCAACACAGATGATGTCATTTGATTGGTTTTCCTTAGGGATGCACAAGAATAATCCGAACCTGCATAACCCGCCCGACCCAACCCTACCCGACCCTATTTAATCGGGTATTTGATTTTACAAAATATTCACGGGTTAAATATGTTTGAACCTGCACCTAATGGGTAGGGTTGCGGAATTAAAATCTCAAACCCGATAGTAGCCGACCCGACCGAAAGTTCATTTTACTATTATTATGCTACAATGTTTTCTTGGATAATTTCAAATTAAGACAAATGTGCTCTATCTAGGACTTTATGATATCTATATATATATTAAAACAGAAAAGTCTCTCAAGAAAGGTCAAGGGAAAGAATGGGCGGGAAAAAATGTAACATAAAATTGCACTGGGGGTATGGGCAAGTCCGGCAGGATAATAATTGCAGCATGGAGCATGAAAAAAATACAAATTAATAAATACTCCGCATGAATAATGATTGAAGTGTCTCTTGGGATTTCTGAGAGTAGAACAATAAGTGGAACATCAATTACCAAAGTGATAAAGTAAAACGGAGCACTACGTATATTCCATAATAAATAGCAACAATAATATTGGAGGATGTAGCTGCCTTTTGCAATCACCAATGAGAAATATTTATTTTCTCCTTTGATACACCTATAAATTGAGTAAGCACCAAACAAATGATCATCAGGCCACTTCAGGTTGAGCATCAAGAATATTGGCCGATGGAACTAATCTACTCATCTGTTTTTTTTTTATTATGGATGAATATCATGTCAAAAAACGGCTTTCGAATTTTCTGGCCTGCTTCTTTGAGTCTTTGACAGGTGTGTGTTTCTGCTGCATTTGAGATTAGATCTCTTAAAAATCATTACAAATAAAAATACACTTACTATGAAAAATGCACAATTTGTTCTATAAAATTGCAGCCACTCCCTCCTAATAAAAAGCACTACATATACAACATTATACAGCCCATAAGACCTCATTCTACTCCCTGCTACTCCCCATTTTTTAAGATTGACACCTACAATAGTGAAGCTAAGTGCAAGAAAATGTGCAGGAATTGGCTCATGTGGGAATGTGTACTGTGCAGAGGGAACACAAGCCATTACTGGTGTATGAAGGAGGTAAGCAAGTGTTTTTATGCAAAGAATGTGTTGCCAAGCTTGAAGCTAAATCTCTACTGCCAAGGCATTATACTCGAATGATAAAGAAAACAAGTACTTCAATGATGATGTGAAAATAGCAATGTGTTTTGATTGCATAAAAAATGAAGATGTGTAGAGGTTATTCCATATTTTAGTAGTTTATGTATTGAGATGAAACGACTCGGTAGAACTATTGTTGTTTTATTGTGTTTTTGAATACTGTTAAAATTAAGATGTCAATGCAGATTTGTTTGCCCATATGCAGATGCAGATTGGAACAGAGTAAACATTTGCAAATATTTTGAAGAATGCATGTCATGATAGGGGCATATAAATGTATATCCATGTGTAAATAACACATATTGGGTGTAAAATGCTTAAGAAATGATAGCAATTCACTATTCAAGAGTAATGAGACATTATTTAAAAAATATAGATGAACTGTAATGTGATTCTTAAATGAACAATGAGAGTATTGTTTGAAAAATAACTGTGGAAAAATAACCTTAGGGTAATTAGATTGAAGCTTTTGCATGTTTAAGTATACAGTAGTTGCTTCAGTGTTTAGCTATATAGTTGTCACTTAGAATGTATTGAAAGAAAAGTATATACATGCATAAGTATTATTTTGCATACCTTAAGTAGCAGTGTCAGTTTGCATACCTGCTAGAATAAAAATTGATATAGTTTATTAGTTCATTAAATTGTTTCAAGGTATATTGTTGTCATTTAAGGTATATAAAGGATATGTAAGTTTCTTAGAAACATAAAAAGGTAAGTTATTAGAGGAGCTTATTTTACACACCTTATGTAGGTCCATAATAATGCACACCTGCTAGAAAAAAACATCAGTTAATGTAGCTATATAATTTTGCAGAATACAAAAACTGATTGCATATGTGTATATATATATATAGTGGTTGGTTCAAATGTTTGGTTGTGTTCTTTATATGATTTCACTTTAATATTGTAGTCACTTTTTATAAATTGAAAGAGAATAAGTTTGCTATGTATTTATAAAATGATAGATACACTTATTAGAAACAAAAAAAGATATATTTCATAAAATTTAACTTAAATTTTTTTTGTTAATTCCTGTTTATTGTATACATTGTTGAGAGATTTTCTCCTTCTACTAATTGAAATAGGTTATTTTACGTAACTTAAGTAGCTCCATGATTTTGCAGAGCTGCTAGAAATCAGCAAAATGGTGAAACTTACAGAGTGAACAGCTTAAACGATTTGGAAATTATTATAATTGGTGAACAACATTAACAGTTTACCATTTCTCAATTAGTATAATTTGAGCTTTATTATTTTAAATTTTTAATGTGACTAAAGTGTAACCAGGTGTATAAGTAACTGTGTATGCCTACTGTTAAAACATCAGCACACCACCAATTTTGATTCAGGGACAATGAACAGATCCGCAGACTTATTTATTGGGAGACTTTCTTACTCCTTTTGTTCTTAGCCTTTAATTAGGAGTTTGGGGCGAATTCTGTAAGAAAAAAAACTCTATGTGAGCATAAGTTGATCCTATATAACAAAATGTTATTATTATTATTGACTAATAACAAAATCACGTTTTGAAACTAATTAATTATAAAATTAAGAAAGTGAATTAAATAATCATATAAGATGTTGTTAATAAAAAAGAATTACAAAAATTTTCAGAAACTATCATGTTTTATTTTATTTGATTTATAAAAATAAGCAAATGAATCATATTGATGTTCAAGTGGGTTAATTTTAAACATGCAACTTTAGGGATTAAAATCAGAGCATAGTAGTTTCTGGATTAATATTGATTTATGCTTCAGATTTAAAAAATAAATATTTATACTCCAATTAGTAGTTGTCTGAATTAAAATGAGATTTAGAAATTTCCGTGCATGTTATACTAACGATAAAATCGTATCAAGTAGTAATCAATTAGCAATTTGCATACATTTATACGGAGTATAAGAGAATCTAATTAGAGTAATTCACAATTGATATGAAAAATACTTATCTAACAACAGTAGTTGATTATTAAGGCTAAAACTCTTGAAAATAGTCTGGAACACTGATCAGTTGCAGAGACTGTGGCGGTCGGTAAACGTAGAAGCCGCCGGTGAGATCGAAATGATGATCAGTTGCAATGGAGTTCCGTGGAGATGTTGAGACGTATTTCGTTTGTTGTGTTAGTAATTGGTGAAGTTCATGATGATCGATTGTTGGGTGAGTCCGACGAGATATGCGAACGGACTGGAGTCATCTTGAAATGTGGGGGCGTAATGGCGTATTCGACTGTTGGGTTGTAGATCGGCGTAGGGTTGGAACTTGGAGTTAGATGCGAAGAAGAAAGATGGAAGCTGGGTGCTGAATTATCCGATCGTGTGGGGGCTATAGGGTTAGGAGATGTTTTTATTTAATGGGTCATAATGTGTTCTGGGCTGTTAGGCTAAAATCGGGATTGGATTTTTGGGCTGGGTTTTGATTCAGATCTGTATACATATTTAAATGGACTGTTTATAAATGAAAGGACTGGAATATTTTGAAATTCAGGAATTATATTAGATATATACTCCCTCTGTCCCTGCAAATTCTTCCGGTTTGACTTGGATCGGAGTTTAAGAAAGTGAGAATAAAGTGAAAATGTATGGTTGTGGTTGAATAGAAAAAGGTAAATAAATGGTAGCCACACAAACCTTTCCAAAAAAAGTAAATGTGAAGAATTTTTTGGGACATCCTAATAAGGTAAGTGAGATTTTTTTTCTGGGATGGAGGTAGTATAAAAATGTATTAAGTGTATGGAGAAAATTTGATTATCGTTGTTTTTGTAATCTTACTTTCAACAAGCTACCTTTTTAGATGAAAATTTTAATTTTGTTTTAATTTTGTAGTCCAATTAATAGTTACGAATATTTTTAATAACATTTCAGATAAAAAAATGGTGAACCGCTCTATTGGTTTCACCTTTCGAATGGTGATGATAAAAAAATAGAAATACTATGCACTGATGCATAGTATTTCTAAAAAAATTAGAACTACTATGCACCAATGCATATGTTTGATCTCATATTACTTTGGAAAAAACAGCGCACAGTTGCACACCATTATATTAGGCACACATACACCATTATGTTAGCTTAATCTCATATGTTTATTTTTGTTGTTTACGAGATGTACTATGAGAACACATACACCATGATATGAGCTTGCTTAATATATCTCACATGAATTACTTTTAATACACTATATTTTTGCAGGTGATTATTTCCCGTGCATCGCACGGGTAGAATACTAGTTAGAATTATAATTAAACATTTACCATTTTGACTAGGTGATTATTATATATTTATGTTTCCTTCTCAATGAACTTCCTTTCGGAAGGATGTTTTAATACTATTACCTAATGTTTTTTATTATAAAAGATACAAGTACTTGTATTTGTTTGTGTGTTTTGGAAACAAGTTAATCGAGTTTCAAATTGGTTGCATTGATATCCCACATGAAAGATGCAACACGAAGTGATTTTTTTTCAAAAACTGACCCTACCCGACCCGATCATGTATGGTTTACCAACTTATTTTGTGTACCACGGGTTGGTTAATAGCCAACTCGGACAAATTGAGTAGACCCAAAAAATATAGCAGACCCGACCCAACCCGCCTGATGTGCAGCCCTAGTTTTCCTCTTCTCCTTTTATGATTAAGTTTGACAAGCATTAACCGTTCTTTTTCTTCTTTCTTCTCCTTGGCTGCCGCTCCCCCTCATGTTTGAAATGTTGATCGTCGCCACTCTGGTATATTAAGATCCAAATTTGTGGCTGGATCCTAGGGTTTCACTGCTCTGTAGGATATCAGGACATGAGGCCAGCTTCGTAGGGCTAGGGTTCCGACATGTGAGGTCAATAGTGGTGGTCCAATAAGGGGCTATTAGCTCCTTGATCGGCCGCGGCTTCACATGGGTTTGGTTGTGCGGGGCAATTCATAGGGTAGGTTTCTACCCTAACGACAGTGATCACTGATGTTAATGGCAGTGGTGCTGGATTTTGGCCGACATCATTCACTCTCGGGTGGTGGTCACTGTCATGTCAGGTAATTGTCGCTAGTAAAAGTCATGTAAGTCTCTTTTTCTAAGATCAAATTTGTTTTAGTCTATGAGTTCTCATTTAGTAATATTTTTGTTAAAATTCAAAATCCCTAAAAACTCAAAACCCCTATATTTTATCCACAATAATGTGCGAGTGGATTCTTGAAATTCAATGCATCCACGCTTTTGTGGAAAGATGCAACATTAAAATAAATAAACTACGTAAGTACGAAGTATGAATTAAGGCATATCTTTATTTTAAGGTTGAAATATTATTCTCGTACCTACAAATAGTATTTTTGTTTTGGTTTTAAGTTCCAGCAAACATAATTTTTTTGTATATGCCTTTTGTTCACATCATTTTTCATTTTTGTTTTTATGTCAACCTCAGATTAAAATATTTGACTTGATAATGGTTTACTTAACACTTCTATTTTATTTTCTTTTTAGGTAACACTTCTATTTTGGGCAACACATCTAATCTTATCTTATCCCACCCCACCCCCACCTCATTATTCAAAACTCTTGCCTTTTCTCTTGTCTTTGGTTTCCTCCATCGTTTAATCGCCTCTCCTTCTCTTGTCTCTATGTTTCCTCTGTCGCTTAATCGTCTCTCCTCTCTCTTGTCTCTCTGATAACTCTCCACAGGAGCTGCCGTCCCTATACATCATCTTCACCGCTGCTATCCCTCTACCTTATCTTCTTCACCCCCAACGATCTACCCCATCTCTTCCATTGTTACCTCTGAGCCACCTTTAGATCTTTAGTGGACAATAACCCCAATCTTTATTGCCCGTCTCCGGTGATAAACCATGATCAACGTTTTAGATCATCGAGTGTCTTAGATCTATAACGCCCAACAAAATCAAATCATGTCTTGGATATTAACTGTTGATCCAAAAATGGACGCTCGTAGGTTTTTCGGGAAAACTACGATATACACTCAAGCAGGAATCAAGGAAGTAATATGAAAATGGAAAGTAGCTAAGGAGGTTTAGTTGCCAGAAATAGCATGTAGAAATCACTCCCCTAATTTGAATTACAACCTGCCTTTTATAGGCGTATACAAATCATAACTGCTATTAATAATTATGACTAATTAACTAAAACCTTAATACGGAATTAAATATATAAGTAAACAATGCATTAATTGCATGACTGTTACTCTTCCTGGCTGGTAGATCGGTCTGGATCGCAGGCTTGACACTTGAGCTCCCTCTCTGTCGGGTTGGTAGACAGGCTCCCGGGTGAGCTGGTAGGCAGGCCCCAGGCTTGGGCTTGGATCGATTAGGCTCTGAGCCTAATTCCATAACCCAATCACGAGTCCCACATTCCTTAGTCGAGTAGTAGACTCGACTAAGAGGGAGTAGTCAAAGTCAGGTGCCCTTCTATGTGACCGGAAGATCTCCACCTTTGTCCATGTTGGGGAGATGCCTCATTAAAAACCTTAATTAGGAAAAAATTCATTGGGAAAAAATCCTAATGAAAGGGAAAAGAGTACATATGACTCCGCCAACATGAAGAAGTGAGTGAAATCCTCAGCCTTTATTGTAATGGTCATCATTTGTGAAGAGGATGGCTAGAACCGTTCTTCTCGTCGAGCTCGGACGCATCAGAATCATCCTTTGCTTCCTTGAAGACGGCAAGTCCCTCAGTCCCCCACTCCTTGAGACAAGTGGAGTAGAGTCGTCTTCGTTCAGTCGTACCTACACATAAAAGCAACAAGTGTAGAACAGAGCATTTGACCTTGGTATCGAACTGCGGCTCAGTGAGTAAGTGAGTCGCACTCACTACTCGAAAAGAGTGGCATCAAGCTCCCAAGTTAGGTCTCAACCCAGCCCCCGGAAGAAAGATTGAATCCAGGAGCGATGCTTCAAATGCATAATCTAACCCCCAAAGAACTAAAGTATATCAGCCCTTTCGGAAAATGTGAATGCCAATTAAGTGACAAAATTGCTCGAAAGAGCGTGGCTCTAGGTCCCTAACAAGTGCTTAACTCGTTGCCCGAGGTTAGTAGTTCGAAACCGCAAGTGAAAACTTTTGAACGGGTGACTTGTCCCCCGAGATCGGAGTGTGATGCACTAGGATGAGGTAAGAGTATACAAGAACTCGTATGAAAACAAGAGTGTGCGGTATTAACATTTATATTGGAGCTTATTAATCACCACACTCATATGACGTGACCCGGTGACGCGAGTGTGTGTGCTACGGCGCTGGTATACATGAGTGATCGGATTTCATAAGTCCGTTTTTCAATATTAAAATTACATACGCTTAATAAGAGTTAAAACAATTATATCACTTAAAATAATTTTTAAAATGTTTCAATTTATGATTTTTTTAATAAAATCTTTCCACATATTAATTTTATGGAGGGATTTCTTTCAGGCCTTATTTTACTAATATTACTAAATTAAATGAGAAAGGCAAAAATGTGACTAGTTTCAAGATTTCCAAAGAAGTGACCCAATGTTCTTAAATCTGTCCTTTATTGCATACGATTACTCCATTTATCATGATTTTTGTTTTGCATTATATTCATTAGTATCATTAAGAAGCAATGAATGAATGGTTCCCACGCACCACTGCAGCCATCATTGCAGGCACTCTCATCGTCACTGCCAGCGCCGCCGCCGGCACACATCACCGCTCTCGAGTCACTTTGGTCCTTTTTCAGTGATTATGTTCGTTCAGTGACTCCCCCCATTGAGCAGTGACTAACCCATCCTCAATGTTCAATGACAACCGCGGTAAAACCCGATGTCCAATTCCAGTGACAATCGTTCATTGACCCCCCTTCAGTGACTAAAAGTCGCCAGCAACTGTCAGTGACCACCGTCCGGCCAACCGTCAGTGACTACCATACCCGCCAACCGTTAGTGACTACCATACCTGCCAACCGTTAGTGACTACAGCCTCATCCAGTTACAAACGCCCAATACATTTACCACCGTCACACCACCGCTAACCACACGGCCGCCAGCCCCCAGACCCCCTCTCCTGCCCCATCCCCAATCCACGATCTGCTCCCCCTACACCCTCCCTAGCCCCAGCCCAAGCCCCAGCCGCAGAGTACTCCCTCTTCGGCCCCATCTCCAGTCCCAGACCCCCTCCCCTGCTCTATGCCAAGTCCAGGCCCCCCTACCCCCAAATCAGCTTCTCCCCGTCAATGTGAACATTCACCGTCAATCAGTCTCCATAGGGGCCATGCTAGAATAGAAAAGCAAAGAGAAGAGATAGGTAGCGGGCTGGTGGTGTTTCTTTCACGGCCACAACCACGTGCTTGATGTAGTTCTACAATATGACCCGCATACACCATCGTTCACCAACCAATCGCCAATAAAAAAAAGAGAGAAGAAGAAGAAAAGCGGTGGGGATGTTGCTTGAGAGGTGAAGCAACGGTTATTGATGGAGGAGAGATGAAATCGTGACAGTCGAGGCCGAGAGACAAATTTGAGACGAATGGGTGAGAGATGAAGCGGTGACAGCGGCCGGGAGGCGGCGTGTGGAAGATGTGGTGGCGGCGGCGGACGTAGGGAGAGTGGAGATGCGAAGCTGCCGATCGATTCCGATAGATTGTGTTAGGGTTTTAACCGTTTTATTTGATTCCTTATTTAGAGTTTTTATTGAGCCCACTTGTTTAAAAGGAGTCACATTTGATGGAAAAGGCAAAACATGTCATATATTTGGAAATCAAAACTCTAATAGTAATTTCCCTGCCATTTTTTCTTTCAAGAGCACTTAGAACATCTTCAATGCTACAATGTGCACGGTGCACATGTGGCATGAGAGAGATAGACACAAAAAATTGAATTCGTGACATTTCTCTTTCATTTTTTCCACGATTTTATGTGTTGTTGGTAAGTTTTCCTCTGCAATGTCAAACACAATGTCTACATCTAGACATTGTGCTTGACATTGTCAAGAAAAACTTACCAAAATGATACAATTAAGATCCTTCAAATAAAGAGAGAGATATTCTATTTATTATTTTTTAATTGGTTATCTCTTATACCACGTATGCCAGGGGCGGATGCATTAGTAAAGTTATGGGGGCACATGCCCCCAATGATTTTCTACTTTATTTTACTTTTATTGTTTAATTTGATTAAAATAGGGAGGTGCCCCCACTAAAAATAAAAGGTGCACCAATAATAATACTACATTTTTGAACATTTCTATCTTTCAATTTCCTATTAATCCTTAACTCTCTACCCGTATCATTAATTTATACCTTTTATACAGTGTTTTAATTAGTTAATTACGAAAGAAGTCAACAAACAAAATAATTTAGGAAGCAATACAATTGGTTATTATTGTCAATTGAGTATTCAGAAGGTCATTCATGAAGCACCAAATAAAATTTTCTTCTATATTCCAATAAAAAATTTCCAGGTCAATACCTTTATACTACCCTTTATTTTTACTATTTTGTGTCTTAGTTGCGATTTTAATAACATATTTATAAATTAGTTCATATCTATTTCATTGTTAGATTAATTTAAAATTTCGAACTTACAAATTTCAGTTTTATAACGGTGCTAAATTATAATAGACTTTTATTGTGTTATATAGGCTCAACCGCTCAATATACTTATTTCATTTTAGTATATATATATACCTAATTTAATTTTAGTTTTAAGAAAATGCTTTCCAATTTAGTATTCATAAGTATAATTTTGAAATGAAATATATTTGAACATATTCAACAACTTTATCGAGATACTTTAAAAGAAAAAAGATCATCCAAATACTACATCTTCACTAAATAAATGTTGGAGAAAGTTCAAATGTTAAATAAATGGTTAATGTATCAAGTAGTAGATATTCACTCAAAATGTTTATAAGAAATTGATTTGAATTTGTTTAATTTGTTACTTAAACGTATTGATTTGATCAATGTGAGAGCTGATTGAAATGCCATAAGGCAGAGTGTCTTGCCGCATCCGATGGCACGGAGGCAACGAGGACGACATCAAGATCGATAAAGGGGTGGAGCACAAAATCTTCGACGGTCGAATTGCCGATCAAGCGGTCCAGAAGAATCAGGCACCATGCTTTGCTTTAAAGCAAGACAGAGGCTCCGGATCTAACTGAAATGTAGTCTAAGAGCCTGTTTGGTAGCACGGAAATTGATTGATTTGGTTGATTGTGCTAAAATTTATGAAGTTCTGGCTGAAGTGGCTGCATTGACTGATTTAAGAAAAAAATTATTTTTAAAATATATTTTATTGACAAAATAAAGAAAAGATTATATGTAAAAATAGTTAAAATGATCATCTACAGTAACTTCAGCCAATACAATCAGAAAAATAACTTCAATCTTACCTTTTCTGCTTAATTATTACACAATTCAGCGCTTGAAAGTAAAAGTTACGTGTTTGGTGAAAAAGTTGGCTGATAAGCCTGATAAACTGAAAAGGAGTGTTGCCAAACGGTCTTCAAAAGAGGACAAAGTATTATGTTTGTGTTTTATTTGTTATGTTGAAAAAGATGTGTTTGATATAGTTAGAAATAAAGTTGTGATGGTTTTTTTCACAAAATAGAACTCGTAGAGAGACGATGTAATAAAATGTACGTAGTTATACTTTATAGTGTTCTAATGTTGAATTAATTAATCATTTGAACTTAACTTATACTTAACTTTTCAAAAAAATATCATATTTTCTCTTAACAAGTGCCCCAAACCACTAAACATCCTGGATCCGTCCCTGACGTATGCACCCTTCACGTTTTAGCATTGGAGATACTCTTAGTTTTTTGAAAGAGAGGCTCGGTTGATTGTTGAATCGGGAAGCTTTAGGTTATTTCTATTTTTGACTTAGGGCCCATTTGTTATGACATAAAGTAAACACTTTACTTATAACGCGTGGTCAAGTAAACATTTTACATTGTTTGTTTTAACTGTTTATAAACTGTAGGACATTTTTTAATAAACACTTTACATTGTACCGTGCAAAAAACTTTACGTGAAAGAAGAATAATAAGGATGTTTTCTTTTGGACTGTTTTCAGTCTCAGACCAGACTAGACTTAAACAGACCAGATCAGATCAGACCAGACTTAAACAGACCAGACCAGATCAGAATTTCTTAGTTATAAAATACACAGAGACCAGACGTTTACCAGACCAGACCAGACTAGTTCAGACCAGACTAGACTTAAACAGACTAGACCAGACCAGACCTGCAAATTTCAATCCAAAAGAAAACATCCTAAATAGTTTACAGAAGTTAATAGGTGAGAAGAAATACATGGAATTACATAATCAACGTAGCCGAGCTCTGAAGATGCCAGTGTGGCGGCAAGCAAAAATCTTGCTCGATAGGGAATAACGACTGTTCAACGAGGTAATATTTTGCCGTAAAACAAGCGGATCCAAAGCCGAGGTTTCCGGAATACCCAAAGGCGGCCAAGGCCGCACTAGCCAGTGCTACCAAGATTCAATATTTTGATTTGAATTATGTTTTGAGATTTGATGATTATTTCAAATTTGAAGCTAGATTGGCATAGTGAGAAAGCTTCGTATGTTTATTACTTCGTATATACACAAGGAAATCATGTTGTTCTGTTGTTGCCTTCTAGTAAATGGGTGATTGGTTCTTTTTTTTTGTGTGTGATCATGATAACTCATAAGTACATAGGTTATTTAATCATGTGATTGTGTAAATAATTTATGTTCTTTTGTATATATTATTCGTGTAAAATTAGTTTCGAGCCAAATGATGTATTTTTAATTCACATGCAAACTAATTGCAGCCCTACACTTTATGTGCAATCATTTTGCACGTAAAATTTTAATGTGTGAACTACCAAACGGGCTCTTAGTTCAAAATTCTCTCATACTTTCGTCTAAGCCCCGTCCAAATTACTCATCCTTCTCCTTACCCGCTATTGTTGGAGTTCCAGATCCACCCATCTTCTCCGAGTGTGATGCCGGTCTGGGTCTTTGTTTCTCGTCGGTGATAGCTGGAGGCAAGACTGCTTCGCCATTTCCTTGGCGAGGGTAGCTGCTCAGGCCGTGTAACGATGGCGACTACCCTTGATTCAGGTTTGCAAGGGACCATCGTAGAAACAATTAAGCTGTTCCACACCGGTTGTGTATAGAAATAAAAATCAACATATAAAGCCTTGGGCGACTCCTCCTATCAGGTTGACCTTTTATGTAACACTTGAGATTTAATATAAACGGATTAATAGTACTACTCATACCAAACAAGATGCATCTCCTTTTAAGGGAGCTCATCGCTAAGAACTCCGAAGTTAAGCGTGCTTGCACGAGAGTAGTCTTGGGATGGGTGACCCCCCTGAGAAGTTTTTCAGGGCGCGCACGAGTGAGGACAAAGTGCGCGGAAAAGGCTAGTGGCGGTTTGTGAGGATAGTACTAGAGGTTTGTAGGAGGTTTGGAGTAACTACCTCGGGTCCTGCGGGGCCGGGGTGTTACATTTTAGGATAGAACCCCAAGTCTTAATATGATATCAGAGCAAATTAAGCTCCAATGAGTAATTAAATCGTGATAAGCCTCAACAACGTGCACAATGACTACAAGATTGGTCTACTCCAACGAGTCACCATCTTGCAGGGGCGTATTAAGCTATCCCACACCGGTTGCGTATAGAAATACAAACCAACATATAAAGCTTTGGACTACTCCTCCTATCAGGTTGACCTTTTAGGATGGAACCTCAAGTCTTAATAGCAACGACGCAGAGGGCAGCCATTAGGGGTGGGCAAAAATCCCGGTCCCGATGTCCCAAACCGAAAAATCCCGATACCGTTCCGAAACTATCCCGATCCATTTAGGACGCAATTTTTTCATCCCGAACCGGTCCCGCACCGATATTAAATGGGACGGGACCGGGATAGCTATAAAATATCATGTCTCATCCTGGTGTCCCATTTGAAATTAATATGTTATTTTAAATTTCTAATGCTATATAATAGTCAAACCTAAGTAAAACTTTCTAGTTCTTAGTCTCCCTAGTGTAATTTTATCTTATTTCATGTCTCTCTTAGTCTCATTTCTTTTGTTTCTTTTGATTAAAATTTGTTTACTTCTCATTCCAATACTAATCCATAATATATTATTACGTGCGGAATACTATTTATGATGGAATAACTACTACTCCAAATTATAGTGTAGTTATAGATTTAATATTTTTCAAAATAACTACTAGAATATATACAGTGTCTTTATAGATATGATATTTAATTTAATGTGGTATTGAAAAATTACAAGTGTACTACAAAGTATAAAAATATTTTGCACTACTATTCTACTAGAGAAAAGACAAGATTAGGGGGACCAAAAAAAATTTACAAGACAAAATTAGAAATAGTAAATTAAAGATTTTACTTAACTTTTTGGGAAGCTAAATTTGAAAAAAAAAAAGTTACATCTTTATATTGATGTTATGCTTATTTTTACATAACATTTCATAAATGCATATTTTAAGGGACATCCCGAACCGTCCCGGTTGTTCTCGGGTTGTCCCGATCCCGTTTTAAATGGGACAACATTGGGATAAAGACTTATCCCGTACCGAACCGGACCGTTGTTATAAAACCAGGACGGGATCAGGATAAGCCAAATCCCGGACCGTCCCAGACCGTGCCCACCCCTAGCAGCCATAGCTTCACATTTTCTTCCCCTTGACCTGAAGCGGCCCTTAATGGCGGAAATCTGGATTTTTCTCACTGAGAAATTGAATTCCACGACCTCTGAGGACCTCACCTTCACCATTGGCTTTTCTATCAGTTCCTACGCCGCTGACGGAGGTGGGCGAGCCGAGGCCGGTGATCGGCGGGCCTACGGTGCCGTGACGGAGTTGCACTAGCGAACTGCTAAATAAGCTGAATGCTCGTTGCTGTGACCCCATTCGAGAGAGTTTCCGTTTCCGGCTGCTCGCGAATTCCATGGGTGGCAACGACGTCTTGTAGCGTCGCCAGACATTCCAGATCACCAAGAATTCCAGATCTCATTTTTCAGAGAAATTTTTGCTTTGATGATTAGAAATGGTGATGAATTTGTGTATTTTTGGGATGGATCTTACCTAATTTTGTTCAAATCTCGTACTAAAGTGATGTGAGAAACATTAGAGACTCTCAATGAAAATTGGTCCAAAAATGGGCGTTCATAGGCTTTTCGAGAAAGCTACGATACACAATCAAGTAGGAATCAAGAAAGTAATACGAAAATGGAAAGTAGCTAAGGAGGTTTAGTTACCAGAAATAGCATGTAGAAATCGCTGCTCTCCTAATTTGAATTACAACCTGCCTTTTATAGGCATATACAAATCGTAATTGCTATTAATAATAATGATTAATTAATTACAACATTATTACTATTAATAATAATTGTTACTAATACAACGTGCATTTTATAGGCATATAATTAAACAACACATTAATTGCATGATTGTTACTCTTCTTAACTAGTAGATTGGCCTGGCTCGCAGCCCTGACGCTTGAGCTCCCTCTTCGTCGGCCGGCTGGTAGGCAGGCTCCCGATTGGGCTAGTAGGTAGGCTCTAGGCTTGGGCTTGGACTCACGTATCCAAATTCGGGGCTTGAGTCGATTGGGCTTTGGACCTAACTCCATAACCTCATCATTAACTATCCATCACCAATTTCACATTTGAAACCATCAACGTCTTCACCTCAATTGCACTCAACGGTTTTGGGTGAGTTTTCCATACACATTCTTCACTCGGGTGACTTAAGCTCATAAGCTCATGTGAAACATTGAAATCGAGTGTTTTGGATCTAAATCGGCCAACAAAATCAAATCAAATCTGGCATGTGAAACTTCTATCACCAGTCAATTCCAGGATCTCGTGAATCAGTTGAGCACCACCGGATGGGTTCTCAAAGATGAAGAGCAGGCGATACTACTCTTCAGCTCTCTAGCTGACGGCTGGGAGACTCTTGTTATCACTCTCAGTAATTCTGCTCCTAATGGGAAGGTGACTATGCAGATGGTCACAGATGCCCTGATGAATGAAGAAGCCCGAAGGAAGGAAGTCGGGACGGAACAATCATATGCCCCCATATCAGAAACTAACAAACGAGGGGGGGGGGGGGGGCAGAAATGGAGGAAGAAGTCGAGGTCGAGGTAGAGACCAAGTTCAAAATAGAGGAAACTCTCAAGTTCGCGGCAAATCACAAGAGAGAGGTATGTCCTTTGGAAACAATACTTGGTTTGAAGGATATTGCAATTACTGTAGAAAAAGAGATTGTAGAAACTTTCCACAATCTCTTTTTTTACGAGAGCGGCCACAAACAAGTCAAAATACTATTCAAGAAGATGGTGTGAATATGGTTCGTTTGTCATTAGACGTGTTACTTGTTACACATGGTGAACAAGAATGTTTACACGTAGGTACTCATGATGTTGAGTGGATGGTTGATACAACCGCATCATTTCATGCCACTCCACACAAGAACTTATTCACATCTTATAAGTCTGGAGATTTTAGAGCTGTGAAGATGGGAAACACCAGTTTCTCGGAGACTGTTGGCATTGGTGATGTGCACATAACAAATGTCGAATGCACACTTGTGTTAAAAAATGTTCAACACGTTCCGGATCTTATATTGAATCTTATCTCTGGTGCAACTCTGGATCATTAAGGATATCATAACCAATTCAAAGAAGGTACATAGAAGTTATCTAAAGGTTCCTTGTTTGTGGCAAGTGGCCATATTTGTGGTACTCTTTATAAAAACACATGCAAGGCCACTTGAGCGTGAAGGGATTGACAACTCTTGCTAAGAAGGAAAGCATTTCAATGGGCAGATGTGTTGCCCTAGATCCATGCGAGCATTGTCTATTTGGGAAATAACACAGGGTTTCCTTCCGTTCTCCAGGAAGAACCATACAGAGTTACCCAGTCTTGTCCACTCTGATGTATGTGGACCCATTGAAGAGGAGTCACTTGGAAGAAGCAGATATTTTGTGACATTCATTGCTGATGCGTCATGAAAGGTACAAGCTTACTATCTAAAGAGTAAGGATCAAGTGTTTGATCGTTTCAAACTGTTTCATACGATGGTTGAACGAGAAACAGGGAAGAAGCTGAAGTGTTTACGTTCAGACAATGGGGGAGAATACACTTCCCGAGAATTCTCAGCATATTGCGCCGCATACGGAATCGGACATGAGAAGGCGGTTCCACGAACTCCACAACACAATGGTGTGGCCGAAAGAATGAACCGAACCATTGTGGAGAAAGTTCGTTGCATGTTGAGTATGGCTAAACTACCTAAACCATTCTGGGGTGAAGCGTTGCTGATAGCTTGTTATCTTATAAACAGGTCACCTTCTGTTCCTTTAAACTTTGAAGTGCCAGAGAAGAAATGATCAGGAAGAAATGTTTCTTACTCTCACTCGAAAGTGTTCGGGAGCAAGGCATTTGCACATGTGTCCAAGGAGTTGAGACAAAAGCTTGATCTCAAGTCAAACTCATGCATCTTTATCGGCTATGGAGATGAAGAATTCGGATACCGATTGTGGGATCCCGAAGTGAAGAAAGTTGTACAAAGCAGAGATGTTGTATTTCATGAAAACGAGTTTCATGAGAGTGCTCCAATAATCCACAAACAACAAAACGATGTCATTGTATCATCTAAAATTCATCTCTGCGACGAGGAGATGCATGATATTGCTGAACAAGAGAGTGATATAAGTGATCAAGATGCTCACAATGATGATATTCCTCAGCGCGGGGGGGGGGGGGGGGGGGGGGTCATATGAAGACGAAGCTGAAGGTACTCAAGTTTGACGTTCTATGTGAGGCATAATTCAACAGAGAAAGTATTCCACATCTGAATGGATACTTGTTGCTAACGAGGGGGAGCCAACGAGCATCACAGGAATGAGAGAAATAAAGAAAAAAGTGGAGGGGGGGATTTCTAGGGATCTTCCACCTTCTTTCTTGGAAGTTGCCAAGAGACACCTTAACATGGAATCACCTTGTAGGAATGAGCTATCCAACAAATGAACATCGTAATAAGATATGGAGAAGCTGGAAGCACTACCTCTTGTCTCCAAACCAGCCCTATAAATAAAGTGTTCTATTGTTGTTCATAGCATCAGTTTCGAAAGTGAGAAAAGTGTGTGAAGAGAGAAATACACTTAGAGTAGATGTGTATTGGTGAAGATTAGTTTTTGTAATAGTTGAGTGTGAGAGTTTGCTCCTCCTTTGTAATTTTGTTTTTGATATTAAATAGAATGATTTTCCAATCCCAACAAAACGGTCTTGTGTGGAATTCGATATGCCCCTTCAAATATGGTTCTGGATCCACCATGTCTCATAGAAGCTTTTGGCTTAAAGATGTTTAAACCTAAGTAGAAGTTGCTATTTAAAAACACCTTTTTTTATTGATACTCTATCAACCCTGGTAGAGAATGAGGGGTGCTACTTGTACACATAATTTATACTTTATAAACAATACTCTATCCAGAATATATTGAGAAACATGTAAAAAAAAATGTAGGCATTATAATATTACAATATAAAAAAACCTGGAAATGCAAGTGTTTCACACTTCACAGTAAAAACAATTAAAAAACGATTGAGTTTAGAAAGGAAAAAGGGGAAAACTGTCAAATAAGTCATCATACTCTTACAAAAAAAGTCAATTGAATCCTTGTACTTCAAAATGAGTCAATTAAGTCAATGAAGTGTTAAAAATTAACCAAATATGCTATTTGGCCGGTAACTAGCCGGTAACCCGGTTTCTCGCATACTTGGCTGTCCAACTAGCCCTTTTTTACTGTTTTTCTTTTCTTTTCTAATTTTCCTTTCTTTTATGCTTTTCTCTTTTTCCCCTTTATTTCTCTCTCTTCTTTCTCCTACGAGTTCACAGCTCCTCTCCCTGCAAGTCTGCACCTTCTTTCTTTATTCTTTGTTTCTCTCTTCTTTTTCTCTTTCTTTTTTATAATATCCATCCTACGTACACCTTCTATTGTCATTAGGAGACCCTGTATGGAGACTAGTGTTCTGCCCTCATGATATGGGGTGGAGCCGTGGAGGAGGTGTTCTCCGGCGTGTTCTTGTGAAATGAGGCGGCGGTGAAGAACTGAAGACGCGCTTAATGAAACCGTGAGTGAGACACTTGAGGACTAGTATTGCAGCCTTGTCAAGACCCTGTCTGGTGCTCTCGATGGTCCGCCGCATCGGCGGTTTGGCTTTACTTCTGCACACTCACGCCTCGTCTGTAGCTTTTCCGCCAAGTAACCGTCGGGAGAGGCTTTGTGAGAAACTGAGAATCTGCTTCAATTTGGCCGCCATCACCAAGTAAGAAAAAAATCGTCGAGCAGTTTGGGAGAAAGAAAGAGAAGAAATGAAAAAAGAAAGAAACTGAACAATAGAAAAATAAAGAAAGAATAAAAATAGAAACCGGTAAAATAAAGGCCACCTGGACATCCACGTAGACAGTAACCGGGTTTACCTACTGGTGACCTATGAAATAGCTATTTTGAATTTTTGATGGTTTTTTAACACTTCGAGACTTGATTGACTCATTTAAAGTATAAAGATTCAATTGACTTTTTCATAGAAGTACAGGGATTTATTTGACAGTTTTCCTAGAAAAAAAATGAAATCTTATTGGACTATGAAGCACGGAAACTCTCCACGGTTCACGTTTCGGAAACTCGGAAGCATTTCGGAAACTCGGAAACTTCAAATTCCCGTTTCGGGGTCGTTTCCGTAATTAAGAAAAATTTGGAAACCCGTTTCACTACGTTTCGGAAACCTCAGATTCCAATTTCTTCTTTTTTTTTTAAAGATTCTGTGATGGAAAATAGTTTTTTTTAATTGTGAATTTTTGTGGTATTTCTCAGCAGCAACACTTGTTACATTTCTTAACACAGTGTATTGCTAGAAATGTATTACTCTGTACATTTATGTTTAATTATGTACTAATATGAAATAATATCTAAATTCAAACATGTAGAGTGATTTTATTATTTGGTTACTAAACAAATTATATGGAAAAAAATGTGCATATGGAAAAACTTGTGTCAATATATTAAAAAATATTTATAAATATATCCTTATATTTTATAATATTTACGTGTTTCCCCCACGTTTCGTATCTTATACTCCCTCCGTCCCAAAATGGTTAGCCAAATTTCCTTTTTTGGCCGTCCCAAAAAGGTTGGCCAAATTTCCTTTTTTGGCCTTCCCAAAAAGATTAGCCATTTCCATTTAAAGTAAGGAATATGTGACTAAAATTAATTGTCTCTCCTCTGCACAAATTTCAACCACATAGTTTTTACTTTATTAATCCACGTGCAAGTCAACATTGGTCAATCATTTTGGGACGGAGGGAGTATTTTTTAGAAATTAACATTCTCGCGTTTCTCATTTCCCGTTTCACGTTTCCGTGCTACTTAGTTATAATTTTGACATTTGTATGGGTCACAAATCTGGATGGGTTAGCACGGCTAAGTAGGTTCTGCATCGGGTGTTAATGTCGACAAAAAGATCTTGACATTGTGGTCTACTGGAGATGGTAATACACCCTTCAGAATGAGAAGTGTTTTAAAACCTTTATTCGCACTTGATACAAGAAAACTAAAAACCTACATTAGCAAGAGTCTTTCACTGCTCAATGAACTCTCGGACGAAAGGTTAGCTACACACGGAACTCTCCTCCATGGACATTTTATCAAAATGGGCATTTCGACACAGCAACATATTGCTGTTAAACTGCTTATTATGTATTTAACTCTTCAAAAATCCGATGAAACGAATGAAATGCTGAAGGAATTCAATGGGTTTAACTTGGTTGCCACTAACTGTTTAATTTCTGCAAACATCAACTGTGGGAAGCCCGACGAAGCCCGTCGACTGTTTGATGAAATGCCCAATAGAAATGAAGTTTCTTGGACTGCTTTAATTTCGGGCCTCTTAAGGTACGGGAGAGTTGAAGAGGCACTGTGCTACTTCAGGAGAAACCCATTCCAAAATGTCATTTCTTGGACTGCGTTGATCAGTGGACTTGTTCAGAATGGACTGAAGATTGAAGCTATTATGCTCCTCCCTATGATGCTGCAATCTGGAGTCATACCTAATAATGTTACTTTCACTTCTGTAATTAGAGCATGTGGAGAGTTAGAGGACTTTGAATTGGGAATGTGTCTGCTTGGTCTGGTTGTCAAGGTTGGTTTTGAGGACAACTTGGCAGTTTCTAATGCTTTTATTACGTTTTATGTGCGGTTGAGTAGGGGTGATTTGGCTAAAAGAACATTCGATAAGATGGAGAAAAAAGATGTGGTTTCTTGGACAGCAATTCTTGACATGTACGTTGAACATGGGGACTTGAAGGAAGTTCGCGAAATATTTGATGAAATGCCTGAGAGGAATGAAGTTTCTTGGAGTGCAATGATTTCAAGGTACAACCATGGTGGTTATGTTGAAGAGGCAGCAAATCTCTTCCATCAGATGGTGAACAAAGATGGGTTGAGGCCAAATATTTCATGCTGTTCAGCTGTACTAAGTGCATTGGGAGCCTTGAAAGCCGTGCAAGCTGGAAGAACTATTCATTCACTTATTCTTAAACTAGGATATGAAAAGAACAATTTCGTTGGCAGCTCACTGGTAGACTTATATTGCAAATGTGGACAAACTGAGTTTGGATTTCAAGCTTTTGACTCAATCCTGGAAAAGAACACTGTTTGCTGGAACTCTATGGTTTCTGGCTATAGTTTAAATGGACAATCTATAGAAGCTAGGAAGCTGTTTGATCTAATTCCCCATAAAAACAATGTCTCCTGGAATTCTTTGATGACTGGTTATCTGGAATGCGAAGAATTTGACAAGTTATTTGAGATATTCAATGAAATGATTTTTTCAGGAGAACAACCCAACAAGTCCACTTTCTCCATCTTGTTATCTGCATGTGCTAACCAAGCTTCATCAGAGAAAGGAAAGAACTTACATTGTAAACTTCTAAAACTAGGTTTCCAGCATGATATATTTGTGGACACTGCGCTTTTGGATATGTATGCAAAATCAGGTAACATTGAAAGCTCTAAGAAGATCTTCATAAACATGCCTAATAAGAACGTGATTTCTTGGACGGCCATGATTCAAGGGCTTGCAGAAAATGGATTTGCAGAGGAATCTCTTGAACTGTTTGAACAATTAGAAGATACTACACCCTTCTCACCTAACGAGTATATACTCTTAGCAGTTTTATTTGCTTGCTCCCATTGTGGTCTAGTAGATAAAGGCATATATTATTTCAACTCAATGCAAAAGGTTTATAGTGTAACCCCAAATCAAAGACACTACACATGTGTTGTGGATATGCTTTCTCGCTCAGGATATCTTACAGAAGCCGAAAAGTTTATCTCAACAATGCCCTTTGAACCTGAGGCTAACACGTGGGCAGCTCTGCTAAGCAGTTGCAAAACCTATGGAAATGAGATTATGGCAGAAATAGTTCCGAACAGATACCTCCAAGAATCTGGGGGATATGTTCTGTTGTCAAATGTCTATGCTTCAGCAGGAAGATGGACAGATGTTCTGAATACTAGAAAATTAATGCAAGAGAAAGGAGTGAAGAAATGTGGGGGGTTTAGTTGGATAGAGGTTAGAAGTGAACAGCATGTATTTTATTCACTGGATGGTTCTCATGCGGAGTCAGCAGAGATTTACAGTATTCTAGAACTACTAAATTCTGAAATGCAGATCCTTACAAGAATGCATGAGAGGTAATTTTCAATATGGTTTTCTTGTTACAGCATGCCTTTACTTCCAATTTCATTTCATACAATTAACTTATAACTTCAGTCCTTCACATCTGAAGAAGTTGAACGATTGGAGAATTGTTATGATGCCTGAGAACTCGATATGCAGGGGTGTTCCTAAAGATGCTATCCACTTGTTTTGTTTCCCTCACAACATATAGCTTAATTTCGGCATTACTAAAAAAATATGCTCTTACCGGCTTTAGAATTTACGCATTTTTGGGCTACTAATTCATTACAGTAGATTAGTAGCCACTCCAAGCAATTACCTTACAATGTGCCTGATTAAATTAAAAAGGGTCCCTGACATCTACCTCCTTCGAGGTTTTGTCAAATTACTAAATGACTAAAGATTTCTGAATATTTGAATTAATCCCCTTGATTGATCAGATTTTCAGCAAACAACCCTGACAGGGTCATAGGATATATTGTCATACAATGCTTTCTCTATTACAAATTCTTGGGACAAGCAATGAGAGAAATTTAGTTTGGAAAAAACTCATTCCCGCCAATATCATTCCACTCATTTCTCGTTCAGTATTGTTTGAAAAATTTCTAACTGGTAAAGGGACTTGATTGTAATGTTCATAGATCTGAATGGTCATCTGGTAGTCTGACCAAACTTTTGAGGGAGGTAGATGCAAATTATCCCCTAATTAAATACCTTCTCTAATGCAAATCCTCTCTGGAAGTTGGAGGAGTAACACGGGCAGCTTTTAACTCAACAGTATGAAATAGGGATTGTTTGGTCTCTGTATTTTTGTAATGGTATTCAATATATAAAATCAATGTTTTTCTTTCTTCCAATCACGGCATGTACACACTCTGCATTAACTATTAACTCTCTATCTTACCTATCCAGGCCATTCAACGACAAAGATTTTGAAAAAATCATCAAAGGCCGTCAAATGCAGGACTTTGAAACCTAATGGTGTTGAAATTCCTCAGAAGAACTCTGCATGCTATAAGATTGGTCTGTGGTGGAAACAGATGAAGAGACATCGTGCATTTTAAGTGCATGGGATACCAAATTTTTTATACTCCTCATTGAGCCGCCCTCCAATAGGGTGGAGTTGATGAAAGGCGGCTGGTGTGGTTCAGGAATTTCATAATCTTCAATCGTTAGCATCTTCACAACCTGAGACATGGATGGTCTTAAAGAAGCTACTGCCTGACAGCATACTAGCCCAACTTGAACCGCTTTTGATGCCTCACTTTCATGAAAATTGCCTCTGAGAGAAGGGTCAATTAATTCAGTGGACCGATCACTTCTGAAAAGCCCCCATACCTATTTCAAAAAGTAACAGGCATATATATGAATACATCAAGTCTTCTAGAGCACTGCATATATGAGCTCGACTTTAACTTATTATGAGCATGGTTGAAACCAGCTCGTTTCAAGCAAGTCTTATCGTGCCGAGTCGTCCTAATGAGCCTTACCTAGCCGATCCAAACTTATGAGCCTTACGTAGCGTGGTCATCAGCCTGACTCTAGCCTATTTGGAACTTGGCTTCGGCTTGGCTCATTAAGATTATGATCTTAGAACCAAGCTCAAATTCGTGCTCGTGCTTCATTGCGCAGATCCAAGCTTACTAGTCTTATCGAGCCGGGCTGAGGTTACGAGTTAATATCTATGAGAGTTAATTGAAAGTTATGCCACAATTACTAACCAAACCTAATTATCACAATTATTGATCTGAGCTCTACCTGCTTTCGCAAATAAATAAACCAACCTCGAGCCTTAGTGAGCTGAGACAATCACAGCCCAAGCTGAGATGGTTTCTTATAACAGCATAGCATGCTATGCATAGAAAATTGTTCCAGAGTAGGATAATGTAGATAGATATATGGAACATACCGTTTGCAGTAGGGAGCCAGATTCTTCTAAGAAGGCATTGCTCTTTCTACCAGAGATGATCTCAAGAATAAGCACACCAAAGCTATAGACATCAGCTTTCTCTGTGAGTTGTCCTTTGACAAGGTATTCTGGAGCCATATACCCCCTGCATCATTAAATGAGTTGTATTTACAGGAAAATGCATTAAATGTTGTGTGATGGTTTCTTATTGTGATCTTACAGTGTCCCGGCAATGCCTGTGCTCAGATGAGTTTTATCGGTTGCAAAACAACGTGCCAGACCAAAATCGGCAATTTTAGGACAAAGATTTTCATCTAGAAGGACATTGCTGGTCTTGATGTCCCTGTGGATTATTCTGATTGTCGTCCCTTCATGGAGAAAGGCTATACCTTCTGCTGCCCCCACCACAATGTCAAATCGCTCTTTCCATGTTAGAATCTTGTCCTTGTTATTATCTTCAAATCATAATAATAACAATGATAGTATTAGAAATACAACAACAATAATAAAGAAAAGCGAAAACAATAACACCTCAAGTGAATTACCACTCCAGAAAGGGTAAATTTCTTTTTTAGTCTCAGCCATTTTAGAGGCTGTTTGGGACGACTTAGCATAAGTGTTTTATCATATTTGGGTTCTCATTTAAACCCATAATTAAAAAAAGAACCAATCTGCTGCTGTTTTGTCAAATAAGCACTACAAGTGGTTTTAAAACGGTTAAAAGCATTATGTCTATTTTCTTGTCAAACACTTCTTTCTGAACGAAAAGTATTTTTCTTCATCTAAAATATAATCAATCCCCTAAAAAGTAATCACAATGCTCTCTTAGTCCCTTGGTATTTTTTTTACAAATATGATTCTTTAATCTACTCTTTGGTTATGGTTTTAGTCCATCTTCCTGTCAGACATCACAATGGAATACTGAACTCTAAGAGACTAAAGTGCCACCAGGGTGTATAGTAACACAGGGACTGCTTAAGAAAAACTGCATAACTGAGGGACCATAAAAGCAATCACCCTTTCACAATACATATGATAGAGGAGAAGAAAGAAACTAGAACTAGAGTAAGTACCAAAAAGGTAATGGTCAAGGCTGTTGTTAGGTACAAACTCGTACACTAGAAGGCTCTCGGGACCTTCAATGCTGCAGCCCAAGAGCTTGACAAGATTCTTGTGCTCAATTCCACTTATAAGGTTCACCTCATTGAAGAACTCATCAACCCACTGCCTTGTATTGAAAAACAACCTCTTCACCGCCACAACTCGCCCGTCACCCAGAGTTCCTTTGTACACAGAACCAGCCCCTCCTTGCCCAAGTTTTGTATTAGCACCAAAGTAGTTTGTAGCCTTCTCCAGAGTTTCGTATTTGAAATTCAGATTGGATCTGTTGTAAGTGATTGATATTGCACCAAGATTCTTTTGTTCTGAATTGCAGTCAAGGACGTTGTAAGGCTATGTTTGGTATGATGTAATGCAATGCAATGGAATGAAGTGTGTAATGCATATAAAATGTAATGTAATGGAATGGAATCTCTATTCCATTACCATGTTTGGTTACTTAAGTAACAACAATTGTAATCAACATTACCTAATTATGTTTATTTGTTTATCTACATCTAGAATTAGACTAAATTGTGTTGGGGGGTGGGCGGGGTGGCGGGTGGGGGTGAGCGGGTGGTGAGGGGTGGGTGGGGGCGGGTACGTGGGAGCGGGGGGGGTGTGGGTGTTGGGGGTGGGCGGGGTGGGCGGGGTGGAGGTGCGCGGAGGCGGGGGGCGAGTAGTGTGGGGTGTGAGGAGGGTTCTTGTGAAAGAAGACAAAAATATCACTTGATGAAGTGTATGTGATCATGATCGAGTTAGGTAAAGTATAATATTCCCAAATACAAAGAGTGAATGTGGGTAATAGAAAATGACTTTGTCAGATTGAGTCTTTGTATTATGAGTCGTGTTTTTCCAACATGAAGTTATCATACAACATTTTGAATAAATTAAAACTCGTATGATTGATTTACCCAGATTATAGATACGAGTCAAACAATATGTAATAAACTATATATGATTGATTTACCCAGATTATACATATTACGCTTTTATTGTTTTATTATATTTTGAGCAATTACACAATAATTCTTAACCTTCGGTATGCCCCTCATTCGAAAAATCTCTGGCTCCGCCACTGACTATTGTTATGTTCACCGCAATATCTTATTTTAGTCATACAATTGTCATTATTTCCATTTTCATCATTTGCAATGGAGTCAAAGACTCACTATTTTTTGCTTGGGAATGTGATAGAATAAAGCAAAATCGTTCACTAAACTGTTTGCGCTTCTTTGTTGTGAAGCAGGGTCAGTATGTCAGTCCATGAACTTACACGATTTTCACTATGGGTCATCCGGAAACAGTCTTTTTGTGCTTTAGTACAGGAGTAAGACTGCATACATCCGACCCCCTCTTACCCCACTGTAGATGGGAAGCCTTTGCGGCACTGTGGTAATAATGATGATGAATTGTCACCGGATGAAAATGTGTTGAAGGTTTTTTTTTTAAATTTTTCTGTTCATATTAATTTTGGTTTTCAATGACATAGTAACATAAATGATCAAAAAAATGATATAGTAACATAAACATATCGTACCTTCTTTTCGCTTCAAAGCCTTCTTACGACATCCATAGCCAGCAAATGCAACAACCATAAGAAATGCCGTTAGACTCAAAGCAATTGCCACTTTTAATCCTTTTTTTGATACTGCTGAAGGCAACAAAATTTATAATATATATAATCATTGCTTTCAAAGATAAACAATTGGTTAACTATAAAAAGATGCTACTACAAATTTATAGAAAATTGGTTAGTATTCTGATATTGACATCAGAAATTTTTAAATTCCTGTGGAAAGACTATAGTTTGTAAGTTATTTTTCTGAGAAAAGTTACCAAGATTATTACGGAGTAATATTTGAGATTAGCTTTTGACAATTTCCTGTACTTCTTGAAATGCGTCGGTACCTTTTTATGTTTCTTGACACCTTTTCTGATATTGATGAACATTAATAATGGAGATGTAAAAATATACTAATTTCAATAATTCAATGGAAATTCTGAAAATAACTTCCTTTTTATTATCATTGGTTTCTTTGAGAATTATTCCCTCTAGTTCTCCATTTATATTAGTGATGAGTATGAATTTAGAGATTGGAGAGATCGATCTATCATTACAAAAAAATACTTTCAGAAAATTTACATGGAAATTTTTACGCTAAAAATAAAGTTTTTTAAAAAATTTGGGATGGGCCAGGCCAAGTTTACCCCCTAGCTCCTTCCCCGGGGTAAGGTGCGTTGAAGTTCAAGACAATTTTTTTTAACACGGAGTATAAATCTAGTATAATTCCTTTTCGATACCGGGATGAGAGAAACCTTCAATTCGGCCTACACATAACTCGGATTGGGTTTGGTCATATGCATCCTACGTTGTATAAAAACTTAAATATAGGTCTCGTTAATACGAGAACTGTGTATATACTCGGTCAATACTTTTTTCCATCATTCCAACACCATATATAAAATACACTCTACATATCATTTTAAAATATTGATTAAATAAAATATTAATTAAATTATCATAATACGTTTTTTCTATGATTTTATTTCTAAATAATTATGGAATAAAAACACGCATTACAATGTTAGATGAATAGATGTCATTAGTTTATTTCGGTTTTAATAATAAGAAAATGAGTTTATGTGAAGTTCTATTATTCGTTGAAGCACAATAACTTGAAAATTTTTGTTTTTATGTTTTTTGGGTCTAAACAACTCTAGCAATTGAAATTTCAGATTTTTTTTTTAAAAAAAATTATATATACAATATTAATGTCATATGAAAGATCTTAAAGATAATAGACTAGGGTCATTTATGTATTTTAAACAATATTATTCTACTATAAATATATCTGCCCGGACTCCTTAGAGAGTAACCGGATTCATTATCTCACATGGTATCACGAGCTTAAGTTTTACCCTATTTTTTTTCCGCCCTTCGTTCGTTCTTGGGAAAGCCGCAGCAGGCCACAGCCATGGCTATTGTAGCAGCGACGTCTTCCACCACCGTGTCGACCACGGTGTCCGCTACCGCAAGCATTACTCCTTCATCCTCTATCTCTGCAATTGGCGCACCTATTGTCCCTGGTTCGCAACCTTCAGTTCTTCTCCCTGGTAGTGCGTCAATTGCTGGTTCATCCTTCGCTTCCCCGCTGCGAAGTTCACTGCCAGCATCCAGCCTGTTTCTAAGCATGCCGCCGGTCTTCTCCTGGTCTGCACCGACCCCGGTTTCGCCTATCTCTCTGGATCCGCCGCCCCTGCTTTCTGTCCCGCCGTTAATATCCACTCCTGTTACGGCTTCTTTTGCGGGACCCACTCTTATGGGGTCGTCGGGCGTGTCTTCTTTGGTGACTGCCTCACGGTTTGGCTCAGCGGTTCCCTCTCAGATTTCTCTGGCAGACTTGGCACAAACTCTATCTCCCGTGGCCACCGATGTCACCAACATTGTGACCACTAGATTACAGGCTGTTGAGGACTATACAACATGGCGTACTCAGTTTGAGTCTTTCCTGGTGTCTCAAAATCTTCTAGGTATGCTTGATGGCTCCATACAGGTACCCTCTGTTTCTTCTACAGACCTGTCCAATCATCAAATTCTCAATCCTGAGTATTCCTTATGGTTACGTATTGATCAAACTATACGGTCTTGGTTGTTTGCCCCTTTATCACGTGATATTCTTATCACTACAAGAAAAAGGCTCATTAGCGAAGGGAAAAATGGTCGCTAAAACTTAAAAAATGGCCGCTAAAGATTATTAGCGACAAAAATATGTGGTCGCGAGTTGGTCCCTATTGCCCTTGCCGCAAAAGACATTTTGCGACCGGAAAAAGACGTCCGTCGCTAAAACAATTTGAGACCAAATTTTATCTGGCCGCTAATGATATCAGTAAGGAACACATTGTCATGGCTTTTGCGACCATGTTCCCTTTGCTAAAACAAATTTGTATAAATACTTTCTAACAACTTATTCCAATAAATAGTGCTTGATGATAAAATATAATACGTACACAAGAGATGATATACAAATGCATAATATGATAATAATAGGATAAAATCTTATTTGCATATAATTATTTAACTTTTGGTTCTAAATCAATGATACAAAAAGTATTTAATCATCAACTACATCATCTATTCATCTAATCTACTAAAATAGTTAAAACAAGTAGCTTGCGTCTCATCTTTTCACTTTCCACACGTGATGACTGGGAATGATCCACCCATCTTTGTTTTCTTGATATATACAACATTTCTTTAATCTTTTCAGGATCATATACTCCATAGTCTGTATATTGCAAAGCATGAGGTAATTCATCTTCATGCAGCAGCCCCGTAACCCCGTTGACGTCAATATTACATAAAAATGATCTGAGCTATCTGCAATAGCAACCTTAACAATTAACATCAACATGTGTGAATCGACTCTCTTAAGAATTTCATCATCCAATATAAACTCAGACGTTTGTTGCACCTACAACCATAAACCTTAGTATCAGTAAATGAATATAAAATATAAAATATAAAATGTAATACACATCTAATAGAAACACCCTTCTAAACATTACTAATAGATGTGGGGTAAAACCGGACAAGTAGGACCACATGGATAATAAAAAACTTAATTTCCTGGGTGACCAAATCTTAACTAGCCAGACATTTAATTCTAATGCATAATAATAATACTCTGTAACTACATCATTTTATTATGTGAATGATTCAAACTTCAATAGCTAGAGTACTATAGTTACAGAAATGCAAAACAAATAGGCAGATTCATTAAGAAAGGAATGTCTAAAAAATTACTTCTTCTCTATTTGACAAAGATAGTCCACTTTTATTAATTTCATCCTAAATCTCACAACAATTATTGTACTGCATTCATAAAAACAAAGATAACAAATATTTTTTATACTTAGCTGGTCCATATGCAACCCTACTTGGGAATAATTACACAAACATATATTACCATTAGTGAACGAATTAAGCCTTCGCTAATAGCATGACCATCAGTTCAACTTAACCAAAGTAGCACATTCCACGATAAAAAATAATATCAGCTAAATACTTTTTAAACCTGCATACTTGAAATTTAACGTCTAATTAGTACCGCTTTATCAACTAAATTCTAAGAAATAATCAGTGATATGTAATTTAGAATTGTATGAAAGGCAACAACGGGGGAAAGCTCAGATTTTCTGATTGGCAGACTGGAAATGCAACTATGAAACTAAACAGATCAACACTCTGAAATAACATAGAGAACGATTAAATTGAAATGATTAAATTGTAAATTGAGAAACATCTTAAATTAGTGATTTTACCCATTACAGATTAACATTGAAAGAAGAATTAAGTACTTCATAATTAACATAAGCAGCAATTTAGTACAGAATAGTGCTCATTAACTATGTATGCGTTTTTATCTATGTGAATTTAGTTTGATCTAGAGCAAGACTTTAATAAAGAACTGAAGTGGCACCTTGTTGAGATCAATAGCCTCGAAAGCTTCCTCCCTGGACAAAAAGTCAGGAAGCAGTCTACTGAATAAGCCCACAACTGGGTTGCTACTGGACTCTCTATTGAGCTCCTTCAACCTCGTATATGCCCTCTTTTTTTTCTTGCGTACATACTCTTGTTTTGCGTAATTTTTATTGTTATTTTTGTGTGTAAATTCTCCTGTTATTGTTTCAGTATGATTTCGAACCAAACGAAAATGAAAAATCTAAGAAATAGCCAAACAGTGTAGTCCAGAAAAAGCAGAGAAATCATTAAAGGGGGGTACCAATATGTAATCAAAAGAGCCCAAATAACAACATCAAAACCAAAACTGTACCAATTCACTTGCATAACACATTAAAATCAGAATAGAAAAATGAACAATCAAATTTCTCATACAATGAACAAAACTAGTTGAAATGAGAACAAATAAGTTTCAAAAATTAGATAATAAGAACTGTCTGCAGCACTTTCATAAGATTATTGCTAAAATAGTGATGGGAAAATGTGTTTACCTTGACAACTTGATGTGGCTTTCTGTTTGGGGAGCGGCCAAGTTACTTCGGGGAGCACCCAAGTAATAGACATTTGAACCTGCGAGCAGCTTCTTCCGTTGAATTTTAACTGAAATTTTGACAAATTTTAGTGATAGAAACGAAACGACAAGAGTAGAACAATCGTGGCTGTTCCGAAACCTGGTTAGCTGCTAGGTTTCCTTCGTCTTCTTCCTATTTGAATAATCTTCGTTTTAATTCCTTCCCCTTCCAAAAACGAGGAAAGTGGCTACTATGAAGGCAGACCAGTAGTCGGCGTTTGTGATAGTCTGGATTTGTTCTTCTCCAATTCGTGAATTGAAGTATTGCAGCGAAGATGAAAGAATTGAAGAAGAAAAACCGCGAACGAGCGATGATGTTTCTCGGAGAGTTGATTGAGGAGCGGCCAAGTTGAGTAGAGAAGAAGAATGGTACGAAGCTAGGGTATGATTGCAATCGTGAGGCTAAGTCGCAGATGGGCTCCAGGGTTTGTTTTTCAATTTTTTAATTAAAGGAAAAACAAAGAAAAGTACTCCCTTGAAAATAAAAAGTTAGAGCTCTTTTTTGGATTGACCGCCACCCGCCTAAACAAAACTTTTAGGGACGGGAAATTAGAGAAGTAGCGAACGGAAATTAAAATGGTCCTGAAAAAATTAATCATTTGCGACCATATAAAATTTGGTCGTTATTAGTATATCTATTGCGACCATATTCATAGTCGGTCGCAAATTATTCGTCGCAAAAGGTCAATTTTCTTGTAGTGTATTGATGTACGTGATTTGAAACACTCTTTTGGGATTTGGGAACGGTTGGAGTCTAGATTCATGTCTGCCAGTTTGGCTAGGTCAATGGAATTAAAGCATATGTTGAATACAATCAAGAAAAAGCCTGATCATAGTTATCTACGGGAGGTTAAAATTTTGGTAGATGATCTTACTTGTATTAATTGCCCCGTTTCTCAACTTGATATGCTCAAGTCTGTCATCATGGGGTTGGGAAGAGATTATGCTCATATGATAAATACAATTTCTATGTTTCCCCAACATTTCCCATTTGAAACATTCAGGAATCATCTTATTGAGCTGGAACAAAGGGAAAGGTATTTTCAGCAACAGGAAGCTGCCATCACCCATCCCGCTTTTGCCGTCCAGCAACAACCGCAGCAGCATGCCCAGCCCCGTCCTCCTGGTGCTCGCGGTCGAGGTGGCAGAGGCCGTGGAGCACGTGGCTATGGGGGTCGCGGCCGAGGCAGATTCCAGCAGCAGTACGGCCAGCCGTATGGACAGCAGGGTCAGCAGCAGTTCGTGGTCACGGGTCCCTCTTCCGCTGGGGTCTTCTCGTGGCAGTCCCGAGCAGTGGTGCAGGGGGTGTTCAATCTCAGTTTACTCCCACTACAGGTACTGTCATTAGTAAATCTACTGTGTCCACTTTAAGTGCTCTTGCCTTACCTGTTTGTGTTACTAACTCTCACTCTAAAGGCTTTTCATCCGATGGGGGTATTTTGGGGTCAGCTACCCCTCCTATTGTTTGTCAAATATGCTTTTCTACAGGTCACTCGACACTTGCCTGTCCTTCTCGATTTTCACAGCCTACTGCACCTGCCCTGATGACTAATTTCGGGGAAACTAACTCTATTGTGTGGTACCCCGATTCTGGGGCTTCTGCTCACATGTCAGTTTCTGAAGGTATTTTGCTAAATAAATCTGCTTACTCTGGTTGTACTTCTATTAGTGTTGCCAATGGTGAACAATTACCTATCTGTCATGTTGGTGATGTGCCTTTGCCCTCATCTGGCCGATCCCTTATTTTAAAAAAATGTTTATCATGTGCCTCAGTTGAAATTTAATTTAATTTCTATTCAAAAATCATGTGCTGACAACAATTGTGTAGTAATTTTTGATAAACATTCATTTTGGTTAAGGACAAAACCTCGGGGGCAGTTCTTCTACAAGCTTCCAGTAGTGGGCCACTCTATCCTATCAGCCTGCCGACATCATCTTCCCTAGCTTTAGCATCTGTGTCAGCTCCGGGTCCTGTTTGACATCGTAGACTCACTGTGGTGACAAAATTTTGCATTTTCTCAAAAACAATAAATTTCTATGTAATAATTCTAGTTTTATTCATGACTGTGTTGCTTGTCGTCTAGAAAAGTCACAACGCTTGCCCTTTTCTGATGTTAGTCATACTTGTAATTTTCCGTTGCAACTTATTCATTCGGATGTGTGGCAATTGCCTATTTTATCAAATTTGGGATTTAAATATTATGTTTCATTTATTGATGATTATTCGCGTTTTACCTGGATTTATCCTATGTGTCGCAAGAGTGAAGTTTTTCAACACTTTCAAAATTTTAAACTTCTGGTTGAAAACCTTTTTAATCAGAAGATTAAAATTTTTCAAAGTGATGGAGGTGGTGAATTTGTTAATCGTGATATGCAGCAATTTTTTAACGCTCAAGGAATTTATTTTAGAAAATCTTGTCCTGACACCCCGCAACAGAATGAGGTTGTGTAGCGTAAACATCGTCACCTTTTAGAATTAACTCGCACCATGCTTCTTGAAGCTTCGATTCCGAGTTCATTCTGGGTTGACGCTCTCTATACCGCTGCATAAATTATTAACAGGTTACCGTCTCCTCTTTTAAATGGTCTCTCACCCTTTCAAAAATTGTTTCATAAGACACCTAATTACTCTTTTATGCGCGTATTTGGTTCTGCCTGTTATCCCAACTTCATTGCCACCTCTGCAAACAAACTCTCTACGCGATCTGTTCAGTGCATTTTCCTGTGATATGCATCTGGTTATAAGGGCTATCGTTGTTATGATCCCAATACTAGGCGAGTCTACATAAGTCGTCATGTTAGGTTCCATGAAAACATCTTTCCTTTTCGCACTCTTACAAACACCAACTAATCTGACCTGCTATCAGCTAGTTCCACACCTATTGTGGACATTCCCTTTCCTCCATCACACACCTCCCTAGCCGTGTCACCCTCCACACGTCAGTCGTGTTAGCCAATTCTTTCTCCTGCACCTTCTCCACATTCTGCCTTGTCTTCCCCACGTTCTTCCCCTACTGATACAGCCTCCTCTCCACCTACTAGCCCGACCACTCCTTCCTAGTCTGCTTCGTACGACCCCAACCTCCATTCTTGTCCCTCCCTGCCAGCTTCACCTAATCCAAGCTCCAGCCCTCTGACCGAGGGCCTATCTACCGAAGCAGCGGTATCCGAGACCAGCTCATCAGTACCTCCCTTGATGCCCACTAGGATTGCTAATGTTCACCCCATGCAGACTCGTGCTAAAAATGGCATTTTTAAACCAAAATCAATTTTTTCTTTACACACTGATGTTGTTGGTACTGATCCATCTTGTTTTTCTAAGGCTAATAAACATTTAAAATGGCGAGAGGCGATGGCTGAGGAGTTCAATGCACTTATTACTAATCATACGTGGGATCTTGTTCCGTTTGACAATTCTAAGAATATAGTTGGGTGTAAGTGGATTTATAAAACAAAATATCATGTTAATGGTTCCGTGGAGCGCCATAAGGCTCGGTTAGTAGCCCAGGGTTTTAATCAACAGGCGGGTGTAGATTTTTCTGAGACTTTTAGTCCTGTTATTAAACCCACCACTGTGCGTATAGTCCTTACTTTAGCTATTTCTTTTGGTTGGGTGGTCCGTCAATTAGATGTTAAAAATGCATTCTTACATGGTAATCTGACTGAAGAGGTCTATATGCGTCAGCCTCGTGGTTTTATTCATCCTCAATTTCCTACTCATATGTGTCGCTTGCGCAAGGCCATTTATGGTCTTAAACAAGCACCACGAACTTGGTTTCATCAGTTCAGTAGCTTTCTTCTTCAGCATAATTTTTCTTGTAGCAGATCTGATAATTCTTTATTTATTTACCGCCATAATAATTCTATCATTTATTTATTACTATATGTAGATGATATTATTATTACTGGCAATTCTGTGTCTGCTGTCAATCAATTTATTTCTCTTATTTCTCATCATTTTGCTATGAAATATCTGGGTAATCTTCATTATTTTCTGGCCAGAGGCCACTCGAAGCTCTGAAGGTTTGTTTCTCTCACAACAAAAATATGTCACTGATCTTCTTGCCCGTTTTCATCTACACACTGTTAAATCTGTTCGCACTCCACTTGCCTCTCGTACTACTTTAACACTCACTGATGGGGAGCTATTGACAGATGCGACGGAGTATCGCAGCATGGTAGGTGCATTACAGTATTTAACTTTGACACGGCCTGATATTACTTTTGTAGTACATTTAGTATCTCAGTTTATGCATGCTCCTCGCGCTACTCACCTGATTGCGGTCAAGTGGATTTTCATATATTTGCAGGGTACTCGGGATCATGGCCTCTGGCTTCAGACTTCAGCCACTCCGACATGTGTAGCGGCATATTCTGATGCAGATTGGGCTGGTTGTCCAGATACCTCACGCTCAACTACGGGTTTTGCAGTCTTTCCGGGTCCTAATCTGATCTATTGGAAGTCAAAGAAGCAACCAACGATATCCAAGTCTTCTACCGAAGCTGAATACAGAGCTATTGCATATACTGTTCAGGACACGTTACATGTTCGTTCTATCCTTTATGAGCTCAGTTTTCCTGTCACGGTACCAGTGCATCTTTTATGTGATAATATTTCTGCTTCATACTTGACTGCCAACCCAGTTCAACATGCTCGGAGCAAGCACATTCAGATTGACTACCATTTTGTTCGTGAGCGAGTGGCTCATGGTGATTTATTGGTGTGATATGTTCCCACTAATCTTCAGTTGGCAGATCTCTTAACTAAGAGTCTCCCTAGTCAACGTTTTCATTTTTTAAAGGACAACCTGCGCGTTGTATCTCACGCACAGTTTGAGGGGGTGTCATAGACTAGGGTCATTTATGTATTTTAAACAATATTATTCTACTATAAATATATCTGTCCGGACTCCTTAGAGAGTAACCGGATTCATTATCTCACAAAAGATTGAATCCTTCCGCCCCTGACCCGATAAGGTATTTGAAAGATTCTAAGTCACGGTGGTTCGAGTGAAAGATCTTGCACCGTGCGCATCAGAAATCCAACCAAGCACACATGAGCTGCAACTTTTATACTGTCGTTACGAGTTTTGATGCTTAGTCAATCATCAGCATGAGCTGAAACGATTTGACCAACTGAGCTACTCATTTTCATCTTTTTAGGCTGTCGACCCTCCCTCTGTTTTACCCTCCCATTCCCCTTCCCACTTTTTAAATCCCTATTTTCTTCCCCAAAATAAGCAATTAGGAGCCTAAAAAATACTCCCTCCGTAATATTCATATCTTCCCACTTTCCTTTTTTGGATGTAACATTCATATCTTCCCATTTCTAAATCTTCCCATCATACCCTCAATAATTTTAAAAATAATACACTATTACACCTACTTTTTTTGGATTTATCCTTCATTCCATCACATTATTTCACTATCTTCCCATCATACCCTCAATAATTTATATCCTCTTTCACTATTCTTAATCTACATACTTTTCAAATGGGAACATATATATGTTAGGGAGGGAGTATACATTTAACTTTTTAGACTCCCAACTCCTTTGCACTTCCGGTAAAAAAACACTTGTGCCCTACAAATGGTCTTATGCTTCCTTGTTCAATCACGGGTCGAAGAGAACTTTCTGCTGAGCTTTCTGTTCATTTATTAAAAAGATAAATAGTACTCCATTGGACTGGGTCCCTCGTATTGAAGAGGGTGGTCGGCAATATCACTTTCTCGTTCCAGATCAATTCATAAGTCGGGGTCTGCTTCTGATCTGCGGTACCCGTACATTAACTAGTGATGAAGTGAGGTGTACGTAACTAATGACACTTGCAATAATGACATGCATCCCTCCTAGAAAGATAAAAGGAGAAAAGGTGAAAATTTTAAGGTAATAAATCTACTTATTACTATCTCTAGTGATGGACCCGGGTCCGGGTCAGGCCTAAGCCCGGCCGGGTCTAGATGACAATGGTTTTGGCTCGAGACTGGCCCGGTTGTCTATCGGTTCTGGGCCGGGTCCGTTTTTTTTCGTTTTCTTGCTTATTTCATCCCCTACCCCCATCCTCCAAACCCATCTCAAACACCCAGCCCAAACCAAAAAAAAAAAATTAAAAGGCCCGAATCGGGCCCGGCCGGTTCACATTTAATCAATCCTGAAACCGCCCGGTTTCGTCCTAAAACAGGGCCTAGACCCAGAACCAGTACCCGGTTCCCGGGCCAAATGACCCGCACCGAGGCCATCACTAACTATCTCCATAACATATAATCCCTCCGTCCCCAAAACAATTTCTCGGGTTTGACTTACACACATATTAAAGAAATAAACTTATTAGGGGATAAATTTTATTGTTTTGACACCATTTCGACACTGTTTGGCACTGTTTAACTCTGTTTGACACTGTTTTGGTGTAGATTACTTGCCATTTAAGGAAATGAGAAGTTAAATTAGGGACATCCAAATAAAGAAAGTTGGAAGTTGTTTCAGTGACGGAGGAAGTATACATACTACCTCCGTTCTTAATTAAGTGCAACATACAAAATTTTACACTATTCACATGTCTTACTTTGACTACATTTTATTCATTGATGTATTATAGATATTTTTTTGAAAAAAATATTACTAAATTTGTCTCATTGTATATTTTTAAAATCTGATTTTTTTACATTTTTTACTAATAGAGAGTTATATATATTAATGGTCAAAGTTGTGCCTCGACAAATGTGAAATGTTGACCGTTGCACTTATTTAAGAACGGAGGAAGTATATCTTTCCGTTTAAAAGTAAATGAGATTAAAAATAGAAAAAAAAGATATAAATTATTAAAGGTATAATGGGAAGATAATGAAATAAATGTGTTGGAATGAAGGATAAATCCAAAAGTAGTTGTAATTGTGTGTTACTTTCAAAAATATTGAGGGTATAATGTGAAGATTTAGAAATGAGAAGCTATGAATATTACGGGCGAAAAAAAGTGAGAAGGTATGAATGGAAAGAAGATGAGAAGGTGTGAATACTTAAAAAAAAGAACCAAAATAAAATAATTGAGTACTTCTAAAATGAAAACTTATAAAAATAAAAAGTGTAACAAAAATAAAAAGTATAAAAAGTGTAGCAAAAATTAGAATCCACTTTGAAAAAGTGTAGCAAACAAAATAATACACGAATATTATCTTACAGATTTTTTTTGTTTCACTATTAAACATTACACTTTTTCAATTTGTGAATGAAAATTAAATTTGTTACATCTTATAATGAATGAAAATGTGACATCTTATAATAAAATTTGAAGCCCAATTAGTAACACTAATATTTTTGACTAAATTTGCTAAAGTTGTGACCGGAATCACTGAATTGACTGAAATTACTCAATTATGAAAAATTGTATTTAATAAAATAAATAAATAAATAAATAAATATATAAAAATATACCTAAGATGATCATCTACAGTAACTTCTGTCAATATAGTCAGAAAATGACCTTAAATCTTATTTTTTCTTATTATTACACAATTAAACAGGTGAATAAAAAAATTATGTGTTTGATTAAAACTTGTTAGATAACCAAAAAAATAAAGTCACTAGACACCTACCGCCTCTACGTGTTCTAAGATTGGAAGTATGTACATAGTATAAAGGGAGTATATACAGCGCTGTGCCCCCTGCCAACGTATGAATAACAATTCGTAATTTCGTACAATTATGACATTATTATTGCTTATTCGTTTTAAAGATGAAGTTAGTAAATGAGAGAATTATTTCCAAATGACGGATTAATGATCTTTGACATAATGACATTATCTAAGACTTTTAATGTTTAAGTAATTGGCAACAGCCATATGATGAGGCGTCGTTCCTTGTACTCCGTATGTTTCTAATTTTTGTTTCGCAATAATGCCATTAGATTCTAGTTTCACCATAAATCTACTCCCTCCATCCCTAAAATAACTTCCCGATTGGACTTTCACACACTTTTAGGTAATAAATTTGACTTTACGGTAGAATGCACTGTTTTGCACTGTTAAACACTGTTTGGCACTGTTTAAACACTGTTTGGCACTGTTTAAACACTGTTTGGCACTGTTTATCACTTTTTTGATGTAGATAATTTGGCAAATAAGAAAAGTATTGAAGTGTGAAGTTAATTTTGGGACATCCATTTAAGGAAAGTGAGAAGTTATTTTGGGGACGGAGGGAGTATAATTTTACTGTTCTTAAATCTTAATCCCGCCTCTAAAATCAAAAGAACGCCTTATTTAGGGGAAGGCTTGAATTTAAAAGCAAAAGAAAAGAATATAATCCGTATATTTAAGTTGACTTTTTAAGCAAAGGGAATGACTTTTTGGTGAGACTGGAGAGAGTGTGAAAGACTCACCGGAATTACTGCCGTCGTCCTCATTCCGATTGCTGATGAAGTTGACAGCGGAATACCTCAGGTAGCAGCCGGCGTTCAGCGCCCTCCCATCCGTGCTCGGCAAACAACCCTTCACCTCTCTCCTCGCCTTCTCCAAGCAATCCCTGCACCCTTCTCCGCTCACCGTTTTCCAGCACTGCGCCAATCCGTACACCCCGTTCTGCTTCCCCGTCGCGTATCCTCCACGCGCCACCGCGTCACTCGCCACGCCGTCAATCAATCTCCTGGCCTCCGCCTCGAAAACCGCCGTGCCGCGCGAGGCGCTACTGCAGTTGGCTGTGTCCAGGCGCGAATCGGTGCTCTCGCTGAGGAAGTTGTAGCGGTCGTAGCGGATGAAACAGCCGTCGAGAAACAGGCGGCCGGAGGTGGCGGGGAGGCAGCGCGGGAGCTTGGTCCGGCTGGAGGCGAAACAGAGGAGGCAGTCGCGGGGGAGGAGGTCGCCGTAGCACTGGGCCAAGGCGTAGATTGCGACGGCGGAGGAATTGCGCGCGCTGGAAGATCCCCAGCCGCGATCGGTGACGGATTGGGAGATGGACTCCATGGCGGAGGTGAACATTGGGATGATGACGTTGGTGGAGGTTCTGTTGCGGCCGCAGGTGACGGGGGACGCCTCCTCGATGCGGGGATCTGCGGCGTAGCTAATGGAGGCGGTTTTCGTGAACACCATCACTGCCGCTGTGAGTGCCCATTTCAGATATGGGATCTTCCAGCTCATGGAATGGAATTTCAAATTGGGCAAATCGAATTGAAGGGATGTTCTTATTGTTTTGTTCGTATGATGATTTAATATCAAAAAGGAGAGGCGAAAGAAAAACGGGGTGCGTCCGTACTGTGTATAGTAAGTACTTCCACAGTTCTCTTTTAATTGCAACAGTCAACATTTCATGTTTGCCAACGCACAAGTTTGACCATTAATATCTTTCATTCCTTATTAGTAAAAAATTTAAAAAAATCATATTTTGAAAATTGAGAATGAGAAGAATTTAATAATATTTTTTTTAAAATTAATTTATAATACATTAATGAATAAAATATAATCAAAATAGAATATGTGAATAGTGAAAAAAGTCTAATGTTTCGATTAAAAGAGAACAGAGGATAGTATATTATTCAAAGTTCAAGCCGCCCCATTAGTCGTCTGTAACTTTATTACGGAGGAGTTTACCACGGTCTATTACTGTAACCTTTTATTATTAAACAATTCTTTTTTTTTTGGATGATATTATTGAAGAATTCCATTTGTACATCCAGGATTACACAGTATTTATTTACCTTGTACTACCTCCGTCCCGTTGGAATGTTCCCGGTTTGACCTACACACATATTAAAGAAATAAACTTACCAGGGGGTAAATTTTACTGTTTGGACACTGTTTGGACACTGTTTGACACTGTTTTGCACTGTTTGACACTGTTTTGATGTAGAATAACTTTCCATTTAGGGAAATGAGAACTTTCCATTGGGACATCCAAAAAAGGAAAGTGGGAACATTCCAACGGCATAGACAAAGTGGGAAAACAAAATTCTGTGTGAAAAAATTTATTTGTGCAGGACAAAATTTGTCCGTGAACAGGCATAGACAAAAGTATGCTACGTATGTGCTTAAACCCTTTTTATGTGTACACAAACACCTAATATAACCTTTAGTTTAACATAGTTCAATACATTACAGTAACCTTTTATTGTTACTCCTCAAATTGTTTTTGAAAATCAACATTGTTTTGGAAAATCAACATTGTACGCACGAATATAGGTTTCCGGCTAGGGCTGTCTTTTTCCGGCGAAGTTTCTGATTGCGACCAAGGGCAAAGTTTCAGACTGCGACCAATGACAAATATTATTTGTCATTTGGACTCTTGTGTACTCGTTAGTTTTGCCAGTTTGTTTGGAAATTTAGCCTATGTTTATGTAGTTGGGATATAGGGGTGCACACGAGCCAAGCCGCTCGCGAGCCACTCGTGAATCGCTCGGTCACCGCTCGACTCGAGTTCGGTCATGTTCGAACTCGAGCCGAACTCGAGCCAGCTCGGTAAGGTGTCGAGCCATTTTCGAGCGCTATTATTCTTGGCTCGTGGCTCGCGAGCCGGTTCGCGAGCCATACTATAATTATACATATATTTATATATATTTAATATATTTTATGAATAGGCCTGATTAAAAGTTTAAAGTGGGCTTATTTTCTAAACTCCCTGTAAAATGTGTAACCCTAAAACTATTCATCCGATGAAGTTCTTCTAGTCTCTCTTCTCCTCTCTCGCCCAGACATCTTGTATCGTAACTCAAGTACTCAACTACTCAAGTAGCGATGGCGTGATACTCACAGTAGCAAAAAGCGTCCAAGTAGCTTGTCTATCTCGAGCTTCTCCACCAGTACAACTCGCTTCAATTAGGTATTTCCACCGTCCTCTGTTCTAGTCGGATTATATTTATTATTAAGACAATGAAATACGCCGGTGCAGAGGCCAGGAAATATCTCCTGCAGCTCCTCCGCGAACTGGAAGAGCTCTGCGAAGCAATACCCTTTGCTTTCAGTTTTGGGAATTTTTGGATTATTGCTTTGATTCCTTGTTGTTTGATTGTATTGACTTAGCTTTTTCATAGTGCTTTGATTCAATACATATCATTATTAGAAATTCATAACAGAGACTTTAGGCCTTTAGCCACTTAATTAGAAGCTTTTATGAGTGGCTTTCAAGTTTTAGCTTCTAATGTTTTAGTTTATATAAGTGCAGACTAACATCCTTTTAATTGTGGGAAAATGATAAAGGAGTACTAATCTCTTCTTCTTGAAAAAGATAGTACACAAACTAATTGATTTAATCTTCTACAGACTAGGTATTCGTTTCATCAAGCATGTCTACAGAAAATGCATCCATTCAACTAAATCCACACACCCCAAGCAGTGTAGTCGTTGAAAGTAATGAGCTACAAGAACAAAGTGATCAAGTTGAAAGAATAGAACCAGCTGTAGCCAGCCATGGAACTTCACAAAATGCTGAAGAAGAGGAGTTTCAAATAAAGAAAAGGAAAAAGACATCTGATGTATGGGATGATTTTGAAGTTGTCATGGTAAAAGGGGTTAACAAGGCGATGTGTACTTTTTGTTCACGCCATTTTGCATTGATTAAATCGGGTACCACAACTAGCTACAAGAGGCACCTGAAGAATTGCGTGCAGAGAAAATTGAAACTCAAGGTAAGTGTTTAAATGTTCCATGCAAGTGTATATTATTTTTTTTCTTACACATAAATTGATCTTTTGTTATTTTTCCTTTGTAAGAATAAAATAGCCTAGTCTTACTAATATATTATTTCCTTTGTATATAAGGCTGTTATTAAGAAAACAGCCTGCATACCCATGGACCCAAACTTACTTATTTTGGGAATTAAAATTGGATAAATGAAATCATGGAGATGCAATAGCAGCAGCTTGTTGTTTAGCAGACTCATAGCTCTGGTCTTTTGGAATGTCAAGACCCTTGAACACCAGGCTGTCAACTCCAACTCCCAACCATTTCGGGTGTTATTGACATACATAACTGACCCCGTTATGGCTGAAGCCAACGGTGATGCCAGAAAAGAGTGGGGAATTAGTCATATTATTAGTGAAGTCAAAGACAGTGTTGAATATATTAATCGCTCAGAGGCAAGGCGGATTCAATTTGCTAATTGTGTGCACCAATTGCAATTGAAAGATAGGAAGTTGATTTATGATAGCAAAACTAGATGGAACTCAACTTTTGAAATGCTAAGTTGTGCGCTAAGGTTTAAAGACGCTTTTAGGATGTTAAGTGATCGTGATTCGGGGTATACTAGCTGTCCTCTTGAAGAGGACTGGGAAAAGGTTCAAAAAATTAGTTCGGTGTTGGAGGTATTTTGGACAGCGACTCATATAGTTTCAGGCAGTGAGTATCCTACTTCCAATTTGTTCTTGAAAGAAGTCCAAAAAATCAAATCATTTTTGGATGCCAATTCAAGTCACAAGGATTCTTTCATTCGGGACTTAGTTTGCAAAATGAAACTAAAGTTTGATAAATATTGGGGCGAGTGCAACTTATTAATGGCCATAGCTGTGGTGTTAGACCCCACAAAGAAACTGCTTGCAATCGAGTTTTGTTTTCCTAAAATGTTTTCGCCGGAGGAAGCTGTACAAAATATTTCAAAAGTGAAGCAAACTTTGACTTCTCTTTATGAAGAGTATGTTGCTGATTCGGTGAACAAAGGGAATATTTCTTCAGTACATTATGAAAGATGTGGGTCTTCAAGCAATCTTCAGACTTCTAAAAGTTCTGCCCATGTTTGGGATGACGACTTTGAATCATTTTGTGCAGAAGTCGAGACTGTAGAGCCTATAAGATCTGAACTTGTAGATTACCTAGATAAGAGTCGCCTCAAGAAGAGTGAAATTTCTGAAGAGTTTTCTTGTTTGGACTGGTGGCGTATGAACCGAATACAGTATCCAATACTCGCACAACTGGCTGCAGATATTTTAGCCATTCCAGTTACAAGTGTGGCTTCCGAAGCCACTTTTAGTGCAGGTACAAGAGTTATTGATACTTATCGTGCATCATTGTTACCTGAAACGGTTCAAGCTCTCCTTTGTGGAGGAGATTGGCTTCGACATATGTATGGGATAACGAAAAAGAAAGTAAGAAAGATTATCTTGCTTGTGTAATTTTAAATACATTACTTAAAATTTATATTAATGGTTACTTTGTATTGCAGAAAGACAAGTCATACCAAGAAATAATTCTTCCCGAGTCTGCATGATGAAAGTAGGTTACTTTCAATCTCTATACATTGTTTGATGGTTAACTTTAAATACATTTTTTTACACAGAGTCTGTCGTTATAACAATGATGGAAAGAAAGCAAAACGGTAACATAAGAAAATTTGCTTCAGTCCAGGTAGCAGCTTTCTTGATCTCAACTCAGAAGACTAAAGTTTTAATTGAATCCTCATATAGGTGGTTGAATGCAGGCAACAACAACTGAGAATTGCCTATGTTCAAATTCTTCTTCCACTACTGCCAAATATTAAAAAAAGCACCATCTAAGTTAAAATGCTTTTCAAAACTTTTTCAAAAGACTTGCTTTGTAAAATCTGAAAATGTAAGATTCTTTGTTTTCTCCATTTACGATAAAGTTTGCAGTATAAGTTCCCAAAATGAGGTGAGTTGGAAAAGGAAAAACCAAAGGCTACTTGCAGGTAGCTAACAAAATTAAAATACAATGTTTCTCACAGCCATCTCTATTTTCTTCTACTTCTACTGCTGCTTCTTCACCTCACTTCTTCTCTAATGTGGTTAGAGAAGTTCAATGGTAGTTTTTTTTTAAATTTACTCTTTCATCCTTAGTTCTATCTCCCACCATATATTATTATATATGCTGAATTGCTGATATGCATGCTTCCACTTCAGCATCTATTGTATATTGTATAGGTATTGTCTCTATTTGTTTTTTCTTTTCAAATCTATTCTTACTTGTTGTCTTCATAAGGTTCACCACTTTATGTAAAAAGAAAGGTTTACTACTTTTATTGTCTGCCTACTAAAATTTATACGTCTCTTCAACATATTTAGCCATATTTTACTCTTATTATTATGACTTATGAGTTAAAAACTTTCAAGGATCGGATGCAGGGAGTATATGAGTGCAAGCTTTGTTCTATAGAAAACCTATTTCCATTTAATTTATTATGACATACTATTAGCATTCTTAATGCTTGATTTCTGTTAAGATAATAGAAGAAACAATCATGTTTGATGTGTTGTTTAAATTTTGCAGACTAGTAAGGGTAACTTTCTCTGGCAAGGGTGTTTGCTGTTAATACAATCTGGATGACAAAAGACATGGAAGTGATGGAACTTGGAGTTGAAAAGCACTTTTGAATGCCCAAAGCTTTTCTTTACTCAATTTCCTTTTTGCTCAACGAACTATAACTAGTGGTTATTTTTTTTTTGTATTGGAGTTTAGAACAACTGTTGTGAACTTGTGATGTTAAACTAGTTATGCTATTTAAAACACATGTTTGGAATTTGGATGTGTACATCAATTTTGTGTTTTAACATAAAAATTGGTTAGTTTATTTGATTTTTGAGCACGAGCTTGACTTTGCGAACGGGAAAATTCGAGCCTACCGAGCCCAACGAGCCGAGCTCGAGCCATATGAAATATTGACGAGCCGAACTCGATCCCTGTTTATTACGCTCGTTCGAGCTCGAGCTCGAGCTCGAGCCGGTAAAATTATTTCGAACTCGAGTTCGAGCATACCCCAGTTCGGGCTCGGCTCGGCTCGAATACACCCCTAGTTGGGAATATAGGGATCTATGGGACCGATCAAGCCCACTACATGATTAGCGATTCATGTTGCTCTTTCAGGGGTGATCGTCTCTATGTCTGATCATAGGGTTTACAGTCGTAGCTTTTGGAGGTTCGTTGGTACTTGGTGTCAGATTTGTTTTTCGTTTGATGTAATGATCCTGAAACTGATGATATGAATTGAGGCGAGTCTTGGTTATAAAAAAAAGTATTTATTTACCTTGTATTACCTTTTACACTTTCCGAGAGAAAAAATCTATGTGAAAACATTTATTTGTGCTAACAAAATTTGTCCGTGAACGGGCATAGACAAAATTATGAGGCCGTTTGATAACACTATTTTTGGCTTATCAGGCTTATTAGCCAATATTTTCATCAAACACGTAACTTTTGTTTTCGCGCGATGAGTTGTGTAATACGTAGTAATAAGAAAAAGTAAGGTTGGAATTACTTTGCTGGCTGTATTGTCTGAAGTTACTGTAAATGATCATTTTAGTTATTTACATATTTTTTCTTTATTCTATTAATAAAATATATTTTGAAAATATTTTTTCTTAAATCGCAAAATTAGCCAATGCAACCACTTCAGCCATAATTTCATAAATTTTAGCAGAATCAGTCGATTCACCCGATTTTCGTGTTACCAAATGAGCTCTATATATGCATAAACACTTTTTATGTGTATAGGCATCCAATATAACCTTTAGCTTAGCATAGTCTATTACAGTAACCTTTTATTATTACTCCTTCTCATATTGTTTTGGAAAATCAACATTTTTATCAACTAATATTAAAGTTAAATCTTAGGTGTGCATAATATATTTGTTTTCGGTTCGGTTTTTATCGGTTTTGGTTCAATTTGGAACAGAGTACTATTATTCAAATTGATTTACTTCAGTTTAGTTCAGTTATGATTTGTTATTTATAAATAATATGTGAAGGTTTTACTGAATTTTTTTAGTTTAATTCCTTTTTTTGGATTTTATCGGTTTCGATTCGGTTTAATACGATTTGGTAGAAATACTACGGAGTATCAAATTCAAACTATTTTTCAAATGATCCGGGTTAGTTTGGTTCAGTTTGGTTAAACCAAACAGATATGTTCGTCCCTATTTATATCCTTCATATCAATAACTAATTCAATTAAAATAATAAAAGTATACATATTCAGAAACTACATTAAAAAATTTTAAAGTTGTAAAATCAAAATTACAATTTAATTAAAAATTGATATCATAGAATATAAGATGCAGGAGTCTCGTTTGCGGATGTTTGGACATGTGCGTAGAAGACCGAGTTAGAGAGACGGAGAGGAGAGGGGGGGAAGACTGAAACAGACCTGGATTAGAGGAATCCGAACTCATGTGCGACTTCTTGTGTTGGATGAGAGTGTGACTTTGGAGAGAGCAAAGTGGAGGACGCACATCCATGAGGACGATTGATGTCTTTTCTACCTCTCTCTCTCTCTCTCTCTCTCTCTCTCTCTCTCTCTCTCTCTCTCTCTCTCTCTCTCTCTCTCTCTCTCTCTCTTCTCTTTTATCGTCTATCTTCTTTATCTTTTTATATCTAATGTTATTTTTATCTTCTAGTTTTTTTATGCTCTTTTATCCATCTATCATTTGTCTTTCTTATATTCTTATGGTATTCTTATCTTATATTTATTTATTTTTATTTCATCCGGTTTATTTTACTTTTTTTTTTCCTTTTGTCCGTCTTCTCTATTTGGAATTGATATCATAGATCGATTCATGTTAGCCGACCCTGAATATTTTTGGGATTAAGTCTTGGATGTTGTTGTTGTATCATAGTTAAGCGAATAACATACACCCTTAAAATTTTGCCAAAGTTGACCGACACGGAGTATAATAAAGTAAAAATTGTGTGGTTGAAGTTTATGCAGAGGATAGATAAATAATAGAAACCACAAAATATTGATTAAAAGGGAAAGTGACAAAATTTTTAGTGACTTCCCAAAAAGGAAAGATGACAAAGTTTTAAAGGACGGAGGGAGTATATGTTTCACAAAAAAATGACTTTGCAACTCCACATGTGGCGAATCCTAGCAAATAACTTTTATTTCTTTATTTGTTGAAAAATTTGAAAATAATAATTTCAACTATTATTGGTCCACTACTAATAGTCTCAACTATCGATTATTCCTGTATGGTCCCAACTATAGGGACTATTTTCAAAAAATATTCTCTATCGGCTACAACCTAGTATAGCAAGTCAAATTTATTTGTCAACTATGCGTAAGCTATAAATAATCTCAACTATAGTCGGTCTTCTTTTATTAATCTCAATTATCAACTCTCAATTTTCGAAAGATATAGAAATATTTTTATAAATTTACAAACTAAATATTTTTAAACATGTAAAAAAGGCCAACACAATTGTTAATGGAGGGGCACTTCTGTCTTTTAACATTGGGTAGGGGTGCAAAAACAATTTTTTTTAAAAACGGAGTGCAAACTCCAATTTGCACAATAAAATGGAGTGCAAACTCAAATTATCCCATTTATGTACCTTTTATTACCTTTTAAAGTTTTCGAGAAAACAAATTTTTTTGTGAAAAAATTTATTTGTACAGGACAAAATTTGTCCGTGAACATGTCTGGCATAGACAAAATTATGTGTGCATAAACACTTTTTATGTGTATTGTGTATGTTTTAGCGGAAATTTGACAAGCTAAAACTAATTAAAATGAAAATTGTATATTGATTGGGTTTCGTACAAGAACAGTAAGGAAAATGGCAAGAACAACGCGCGAGAAGAATGTCAAATAAGCAAAATAGAGTGAAACTTAGAGTATTATTCGAATGAATGGTCCCTGAATACAATGGAACTCGGTTCTATTTATGAGAGAGACATTTAATCTCCTTTTGCCCGTTATTGACGGTTTTGATTGTTACGACGACATCAAAGTCGTCATTATGTCGTCATAAATTCCGGTCAGCCATTTGAGTAACCAACGCATTAATTACAGTAATAACTCTCATAATACACATAAAACCGCTAGAATTAATCAGCTAGCATTAATCCTAATAAACGCGTCATTAATTGTCGTGGGTTAAGATTCTTGGATGCTGTCAAATTCCTGCACCAACAATAGCCCCCTTTCGAGAAGTTGAGGCGTATCATGCATATGTCAACCTATTAAGAATCAACTTGTAAAAAGTTTGAAAGTACACTTCGCATCATGGTTCATTGCACCTATCAGCTCATTGGCAGCTTACGTATTGGTCATCTTATCTGATGAAATGATTATGTCCTTCTTTCGGATAACTTCCGTTCAAATCCGTCTCCTTGACTAAAACAATGAAGACCGGAAGCTGGCATTTTATCTTCTTCCCTCCAAAATTGTGCTGACGACTATATGACATAAATTTACAACATCTTTCATGTCGATGTCAACACTTTTGCTGGCAAAGGGAACATGAGTGTGAACATGGTCCATATCCTGCAAAAATTGTGAATAACGTGTCATTTGTACTTTTAGCAATATTGTCGACATGAGTGTTTGTGATTTGTGTCGATGTCATTCATATGGTCTCCTTATGTTTTGGAGCTATTGTTGTCATGCTTTTGGAGCATATGCTTCTGTTGTATATTTCTTTAGTTTTGGCCAAAACGTATCGTATGGGCTCTGTTAGGACTGTGATCCATGATATTCTCATGGGCAGACTAACCCTTCCCATTAAATTCTGTAAGCCCCCCCCCATCAATTGTGTTTTGACGTTTTTTGTAAGGCTTCGTATGATGTGAGCCCCCCGTCAATTGTGTTTTGACGTGTTTTAAGGCTTTGTATGTTAGCACATCGTCTCCTCCATTGTCAACAGTTCCTGTGCAAAAAAGAATTCGTCAACGTCGGCCGTTGGCTAGAAGCATTCTAGCCAACGACCCTCCGACACTTAAGTTAGTGATCATTTTATATGTAAAGGAACGTAATAAATTAATAATACATATATGAAATTAAGTAGATATATATCGTCAGATTCTGTCCATAGTCAGACGATTTCAATCATCTCGTTAGGTCTATTATCAGACAACACGCCCTCATGTCTGTCGATTTCAGTCATGTCATCTGATCTATCTCGTCATAGAAGTGACGACTCGTTCCTCAAGACTCAATAATGATTTTCCATGTTTGTAATCATGCCTCCTGGGAGATTCTGACTTCCTGTGCCCCCCTTCGTGCTCAATGTGTCTTCGACGGGATCGTAAGTCTTCTTCTAGACGGATGAAAGCCAACGTCTTTGCTTGGACATCTTCGAAGGACCGACAAGGGTATTTCGTCAGTTCATAGTACGACTCAAAATCTTCATACAAAATTCTTCTGAATGCTTCAATGATGGTAGGGACGTCACACTTTGGGATTGACACCTTTTCCTTATTGAATCAGTGTAAATAATCTCTCAAAGATTCACTCCGTCGTTGGATTACCCGGTAAAGGTCACTGGTATGCTTTTCGAGGACCTGGCTGCTTATGAATAGTTGGTTGAACAGGTTGATGAGTTCTGCGAATGAGTCGATTCCTTCGTTGAGCAAATTGACAAACCATGTCAATGCTGGACTCATTAATGTTGTCCCAAATGCTCTACACATGCAAGCTTCCCGTTGCTCTGGACTGACAGGAATGGCCAACATCTGCTGCCTGTACTGCGTAATGTGTTCCAAGGGATCGGAAGTTCCATCGAACAACTTCACTAATGGGGGAACGAACTTACT